TATATCATTTTTGTTTATTTTAATATCGCTTTGCCATTGACGAAATAACTTTGAGGGCTCAATTCTGAGGTTCAACCAAGTTCATTTTTAACTTAATATATCAACATCGACATAATATGTATGTGTAAAGTGTGTATGTATGGGAAGTATCGTCTCATTTTCACTTAAAACTTGGTAACTACTGTATCTAATTTTGTTTATATCAATTTAGTTTATACTGGAATCTGAAGCTGAATGCAGAGCCCTTTTAACGTAGGGACAACATCGGTGTAAAATAATTGAAATGTTTGAGTTATATTAGGTATAGGCATATAATTAACCTAATATAACTCAAACCACCAAAAGTAATTCACGTTCTACAGTCTTGTATCTCTGGCGCGTTACTTGTCATACATACGCCAATTTGAAATAGCAGCAAAAGTAGTGACACTGTGATAACAATACACATTTATTATGTTATGTGTTTGATCTAAAACACACAGCGTTATAGGGTTTGAAAAACGCAACACCGTACTAAAAAAGAGATTTGTCTCTGATATTAGAAGTGTGATGCTTACTTTACAGCTAATTAGTGGTAGAGCACGTAGACAGCCCAATTCTGGCGTTTGCCGTTATCAGAACCTTAAAGTGGTGAAGGTAATATAACTTAGTTTCAGCAGATCAATCAATTTCGGTTCATAAAAATATTTAGAATTAGACCATTAAGAATATTTTCTTATAATTCACTCCCCCTTAACATACGAATTTTGACCAATGTCGTTTAAAAGTATAAACAAGCTGACAGCCACTCGCTTGACTGCACGTAATAAATTCTTTTAACAAATGGTCGGTTGGTCACAATATACAAAAGCACGAAACGATGATGTTATGGCTACACATGGAATTCAACAGATATTTTGACGCTTGTTCAACTTTCGTCCAAGGATGGGAGTATAGCAAGCATGTACTTTGCGGGAGAAATTATGAAATCTCCGACCTTCACGTGAATGTCGTATTGATAAATTGATATTTTAGCTCGAACAAATAAAGTAGTAGAAGCTACATAAGTTAGACAACATACAGTACTTCCGAATAAAAAACCTCACATAAATATGTGCATCTGGTTGGGAGCTTTTCTGTCGAGGGTTGGAAACCATACATAAAAATAAGAATTTTGAACGACTTAACCTATTTTCATTAAAAGACCAATTTGATAATCTGTAATTCAAACTCTTTCATCTGTTAACCCATTCAGGTATATCCCGTTTTTTTGGGTTGCTATATACAGGGAAAATTAAATTTATCTGAGAGCTTGAGTTCAATGTGTACGAGACAGAAGCGCGAGAAGTGTTCCTCAACACATGTTAGAAAGAGACAGAAGTCGGTAACGGTGACGCAGAAGGTCGTGCAATCGGGTTGCCATTATGTTACACCAGAAAATGTTCGCACAGGCCTCAACAATTAGAGGTCTGTTCGAACATTTAGTTTAATATTTTGTTTTCATTTTGATTAGAATTATTTATTTCAATTTTGATGTGACTTACCGTTTTAATTTATTTTTGAATTATCTTTGATTTCCACCGATGGTGATAAAATCAACACATCCTGAGTTATTGTTACATTTTGCGACAGCGAGCGGTCAGAAAATGTAACAAATACCATTACGCAATACAAATTTTCACTACCTACAGGGACTCAGTTAAAAACCATTTCGAAGCAGGACGACACTCCCCAATGAGCACTAGATGGGTACTGACCAAAATCGCTCATCTATGATCATGGAGGTGGAAACTTTGCCTTGGAAGGTACGACATGCGGTGTTTTCAAGCGAACCAATGATGCAATGTTGCAGAATTTGTGGCTATCCTGACCTGTTATTCCGACCTAAAGTGGAGATCCGTTAGGACCAATCCGGAATTGATCCTAAACAGATTCGACACAATCCACAATTCAAAAATGTGTAATGTAATTTTCAACATACATCTTAATTCAAGGAACTGGTGTAAGATATTGGCAACGCGGCAGATTGCCGCATCAGCGTTGCTAGGCAACACAATGATGAACTTCGTCATCCAACCGGCTTCTATATCTTTCTAACATCTAACATATCTGTCTATACACACTTCTGTTTCATATATATTGAACTTCAGCCGTCAGACAAACTTGGCTTTCAGTCTATATGTAGGACATAGTGATTTCCACCAGTAATCAGTTAGTTGAAAACATTTTTTGGGAAATATTGTATTCTCAAACTTGCGATAAACCATGTTATCATTTTGAGGAGCTACACATAAATTAGTACATAGCAACTACATTCAGTTAGATGATCTTAACGTACTTACATAGTTAAGTGATGAATCTTCTTATGAAAGTGGTTAATATCACTCAGTAAAACGACAAGTACGAGAGGTTGACTGGATTCATAAATAATCGAAAGTATTTGTTAAAAACGTTTGAAACGCTCGTAGCTATGTGTCATAATGTACATCACAAACGGATTGATAATTGTGATTCTACCTCGTGAATTGCTTCCACTTTTTCGCAACGTGGTGCATGGGACAACACCAGAAGTAGGAAATTGACATTAAGTCGATAGTTGGCGGACAAGTGACTGGCAAAAACTGGCATGTGTCAGTCCGTTATCAACAGAATAGAACAGGCATGGTGATTGAAAGGAGAATAGATTTCACCTATACATATATAGTTTGAAGATTTTAGGCTGCTCATCTCGCGCTGCAGCGTACACAGCGAGTCTCCCGTTTAACGTAGCGACCATGACGTCGAGGTACAGTATTTTTATCGGTTGTGCAAATATTAGTTAATTTCGGGTTCAAAATTCAGTACTGTAACAGAACAGTTCTGGAACTGCGCAAGACTGAATGCGTAAAGGGGAAGATCTAGGAAGCGGTTAGGAACAGTCCGTGAACTATCAAAATTTTGCCAAAGCCCAAACAGTCTGAACCCAGGACTACGGCAATACAGAACAGAAAATTATTTGTCATTTGTCAGTAACTACTCTTCTTTCTTGTGAAGTTTTCACAAAAGTTTTGTACGCAGTTTGTTTTGTTTGGTTTAGTATATTTTGTTTGATAATTTTTAATTATATTTAGAAATGGGAAGTGAAGGTAATTTAATACACTTTTTCGCTAGTAAAAGAATGTTGAGTAAAATGTAGATTTATCTATTTTAGAACTAAATATGAATGGTTTCCTACCGGTACCTGATAAATCATCCGAAGACAAGGCGCTAGAATATTTTTTCACGAGATAGAGGACCCTTAAACTTTTACAGTTATACAAAGTAAACAGGAAAGAGTTTGGCTCATCTGAGGTCAAAAATATGAAGAAACTGTGGAAAATCGTAGCACATGATCTTTCTACTGAATATAAAATAACAATTCCAGCAAACAAGTGTGGAAATAAACTTAAAGTGTTAGAAAGAAATTACAAAAAGGTTATTGAAAACAACAACAAAACAGGCAGGAGCAGGAAGTTGTTTGAATATGAGCAAGAAATGGATGAGATCTTTGAGAAAAAGAAGAATAGAAATCTCTATGCACAGATTATCGAATTACCTATTCCAGAAATTATTTATACTCAACCTTCTTGTTCGTACAATACTCTAACCAAAGATAATCCCCTCAGAGAAACAGCAAATACATCCGGAGGAATGTCCTGTGTTGCCCCTAAGACATCTTTAAAAAGGAAAAGACATAGCCCTATGTATGACATAAGAAACGATATGTTTTTAGAAATAAAAAATGATCTCAAAGTATTTTATGAAAAAAAGGACCAGAGGGCCGAGGAGAAGTTGGAGATTGAGAGAAGAAAACTGGCTGATAGGGAAAAAAGAACATCAATTATTAGGGAATATGTTGATATGTTCAAACAAAATGATTTTTCCAAATATCCTTCCCAATAAAAAAATGTAAGTTTCCAGTATGCTAATTTTATGTTCTTTATGACAACGTGGTATTTTTGATTTTGAAAGTTAGTTCAGTTTTCTGTTTATAATTTGTTCCTTATTTTGGAATTTAAATTTTGTTTATTATACATATTCTACAGTAAACATAGTGATTTAAATCAAAGTGTCTGGCCATTACAATAGGTTATCAGTTCCTTAGTTTTTACTGTTATTTTTCACGAATTCTATGTTAATGTATACCAAAGTGTTCCATGTTTTAGAGTGATATTTATGTGTATATATATATTATTGGAAATGAGCTCCTAATTATCAGAATTAAAAAGGATAGAAGATAATATAAACTGGTAATAACACTTCAAAAATATTCCCCAATTTCTGTGGGGATAGTGATATTTCCATATTCTGTGATTATATGATCAGCAGATTTGTAAGAAAAAAAATATATTTTCTATTTGTAACACTCTGTGTCCATATCTGTGATTATATATATATATATATATATATATATATACTAAGCAGTTACTAGATTTTTAAGAAAAAATATTTTTTATTTGTAACACTCTCTATCCATATCTGTGATTATATGCTAAGCAGTATCTAGATTTTTAGGAAATTATATTTTATATAGGTACTATATTTATTTTTAATACACTGTATCTCAACTCAAACTCAAAGTGGCTTTCCTGTCACAAGTACATTAAAGTTCTTACTAACAAAGCAATAACGCAAACAATTCTGGACCCACGTTTATTAGAACTTCTATGTGTGGATGACCATGCTCCTGCCAAGCATCCTGTATAACAGTATTATTAATTTTACTGAATTAAAATTATTAATTATTTAATGAAAAGGTCCTAGTAGAACAAATTCTCGCTGCAAACAGTGTGAGTGCTAGTACGAAGAAAAAATGACATATTTATCCATGTATTTGCAAATAAATTTATTATGAAAATAATTAAACACATATTTACAGTATCACTATCACTTTGAAAGCTACATACTATATATCTAATAATGAAGCCACATAATTCCTGTAGTTTTGACCAACCTCATTATGTCCATCATCTTGTACATGTTCATTAAAAGGATTTTCATTTCCCTCATCACCTATATCTACATACCTATTGTATGCTCAATTAACACTACAATGACTCATTTTTTTCTTAAAACTCTTTTGCACCTGCGACAGACTACCTGTATCCTTATAAGCAGTTAATAAGTTCCTCAAACAAGGATAGGCGCTGTCTCCCAGAATTACCCAGTCCTTACACCACACAGCAGACTATTTCGGAACACTCTTGCATCATGGACACTACCTGGTTACCCAATAAACACATCCCTTATTTTTCTGTTGTCATCACAGATAACTTGCATCTGAAAAAAAACTTGTTCTCAAAATATCCACATACTGACATAAAATAGCTGAATACTGCACAAATTTGCCATTATGGGCACTTACCTGAATCGAATAAAACTTCTTCCTATTCAAATAAGAATCAGGATCTTCTCTGAGGGTATCAATTTTAATGTGGCTCCCATCTACGTATACACCCTGTTGTTCCTGGAACCCCCATTTCAGCAAATACCATGTACTCATTGACAGATCAAACCTATCTGCCACATGTCTAAATGTTGCACCCTCATTGCTTGTGAACGAAAGAAATGCCACGATACATTTTGCACTGCCTATCCTCTGGAAACCAGTGTCTTTCTTTGGATAAAACTCTGAAAAAGACATGCATTCTATGCAAATTGGTATGCAATCTCGATGTACTATACTAATAATTATTTTGTTTAGTGCTACTAGTGGCTCCGGGTCTTTAGGAAGTTGATTTCGGTTTCTTCTGCGCATGCTCCTGATAGTTCTAGAACAGTAATAATAAAAACCCGAAGAAACCTATTATTTCAATAACGACTTTCGAAACAGTACAGTCTCAATCAACGTCCTGTACCCGGTGCCGTGAAAATATTCGTGATCTCCCATCACCAGAGTGTGCTGCCTGTGCCACCCTGACTGGTGTATGAGAAACGGAAGGAACAACTGCGACTGGTCCGCCCACGTATTCAAAACCGTGCTTGCTGCTTGCCGTGTTTCATGCCAGTATATCGCGCACGGTGCAGCCAGCGAAATGTCATCGGGCTAATTGAGTTCACTATTCGCTTTTAGCTTTTTCCATCTAAGAATGAATTATGATGTTCCTACGCTGTCAGCCTGCTGTAATTAACAAATTACAGTAACAGCAGGTGGTCAGAGTACTTACCTCAAGCAAATTATCCAAAAAAAGACTGACCGATTGACCCAAGAGCAAAGGTACCACGTACCTTAAAAAACATTGCCCTTCTCGTCCAGCGTACAGAAGATGTTACCTGAATCAGAAAAATTAAAGGGACAGTTCCGAACATTATTTCCAACATCCACAATGTGAATATGATGCATTTAAGATTTTTGACACTAATGATGCTTTTTTAACAAAACATATATGCAACTTCACAGGAATTGTCCAAAACCACTAAAAACGAGACCCAACCAAAACTTACTGCTCAGTTACAGACATTGAATTATTTTGCTTTCATTTCCGAAGTACTTCGATTCGCCGGCGTTGAATGAAACCATACAGGTGTGATTGAGATTAGTATTTCGGACACCTTGCTGACCTTACTCAAAGTACAGACAAAAAAGTCAGCGACAATATACTTTATATTTATCTACTTCCAAGGTGACAGTTATATAGTGTTGCAACAACGTCTGAACTCTCGGCACTGTTCAGCATCGTTCAGGATGTATAGTAGCGGTAAGAACAAGTGAACTGTCACCTGGAAGACACATAAATATGAAATATATTGTCACTGTCAGTTTTATCTGTATTTTGAAAAAGAACACCGAGATGGCAGAGACGTTAGTGAAAACATAAGTCTATATATGTCGTTTCGTCAAACGATCAAAAAGCATGACACGAGAAGATAAAATGAGAACAAGCAGTATCATTTCTGACAAATGGCTTGAAACAACCTGACTCAGCTACTAAAAATAAATTTTTGGCGATGTGAATAAACCCCATTTGTATGTTTAGTTCCCAGTTAAAATGACATGGTAGGTATAAAAGCAGATCTACCTTAAAACATCTAGGTGTTTAGACGGCATCAATATGGAATAAATTAATAATTCTTAGTGATATTCAAGGACATCGAGTAAGAGAAGTTGTTAATAATCATTTACAGAGGATTCACGTATTACCAAAATGGGTGGTTATTATGTCTATGCTTTGTCGGTAAGCATTTTGCCTTCGTAGCTCGTATGTAAAACCGAACAAAAACAAAAATGAATGCAATTTGAGTATTTAGAGCCAGAGAGAGAGAGAGACGTCTAATTATGTCAGACGAAAATACCCCTGGTTTGCAAAATAATTGAAAAGTCTGGTATTACTGATGCACGTTGTTCAAGGGGTATTTACAACATGGACGCATGAAATGGGCACACCAATTTTTGTGGGAAAACTTTTTATTCGACCACAAATAATGAGAAAACGCGTTTTTGGGATTCAATCGAAAGTTTTGGCAGGAACGATAAAACGCTTCAATTAAGATTTTTAGATATTTATGAGACCTACATAATGAGACCACACGTAAAAAGACCCCGCCAATCATAAAAAAGTTATGGCCGTAAACCGGTTATTTAGAAGTAAGAAGCCTTCGGTTTTGAAGAATTTCGAGTAGCTGCGTGAAACTATCGTCGCATTAGTAACAAGTGCCAAAATCTGCATTTTGCCTCGGTTTTCGGCTATAACTTTTTTACTATTATTCGGATCTTTTTACATTGGTCTCGTTCTGTAGGTCTTATAAATACCTAAAAATCTTATTTGAAGAGTTTTTTCGTTCCTGCCAACACTTTCGGTTGAACCTTATTCTTTGTCGTCGAATAAAAAGTTTTCCCACAAACATTGGTGTACCCATTTTATGCGTCCATGTTTTAAATACCCCCTTGAACAACTTCATCAATGAAACCAGACCTTACAATTATTTCGGAGAAATTTGCTAATATGATTAGACTAATAGTGAAAGCTTGAGTAACAATCCTAGAATGTGACATTTTACTGTCACGTATATTGCGTCATTGAAAAGATAAACAACAAGTATTGCAGTGCTTTAAGACTGATTACAAGTCTAATATCGCATTCCAAGAACTATTTATATCTAACTGTCTATTGTAATACCAAACAACGATATTTCGTGTCAACTTCATTTGATATGAGATTCGCTGTGGAATCTCTTCAGAGCATTGTGAAATAACTGTTTACCTTTTCGTTTTCAAGAGCGGCAAATAAGGCCACGGATGAGCACATTCTTGACAAGTAAAGGGTAAATAAATGTTCAAAGATGTTCGTTGTAATTGTCTGAACATTGATTAACGCAAATGGCATAAGTAACTTAAGTTTTTTAATGTTCGAAATTTCAATCACTAGTGCTTTGAAACATAAGAATAAGTACTTTACCTATATCAATTTCCTCATTGTTCAATGATGTTGATTTTTGTGCCTTTTTTGAGGCAAGAGCGAAAGCGTATCTAATTGCCTTCATCAACTGTTTATAATTCACTGCATTTCCATATGCCAACCAGCCTTCCATACTATGCTTATAATAATTTTTTGTAGGAGCATGCATGCAAGATGCATATTTTACCAATAATATTCACGTATGTTTGCTCACGGGTATTAAAGTCTGCTCGGCACCCACAATTTGTCACCAGAAATTATCGTAATAGTTGTATTATAGTGAGTATTGAGTATTGAGAAGGAAAACACCTTCATGAACGATACTTCTAAAACCTTTAAAGTATCCTAAAATAGCAAATGTGAAAGCTGGTGCGAGGTGTGACACTTTCGAAAAACTTCGAATGAATCCTCTTTGTCTCTATGCTGTTAAGATTAAAAACCGCAATCAACTTATATATTTATTCTTAGGTAACAAAATTGGCGTCAAGTAAGTTGACTCTGTACCTCCCACGCGTCGCCATTAAAGGAATATGTTCAGCACAAACTAGACCTTCTGAGAAAAAAGTCAATGAAACAGGTTCATACAATTAGTCCTTTCGCAAACGTCGCCTCCCCCCGATACCTAACTCGGGCAGATGTGGCACTGTGGTTGCGCGGTCAGAGCAGAAATATGTACGTGTGATTCCATATCAGAACACTCATTACGGTCTGCGCATGACGCCAGCAGCAGCCGCGGCCGATAGGTATATAAAGGCAGGCGATCCGTCAAAAAAATGAGATAAACCGTCCCCGCCCCCTTACAACCCCCAGCCAAAGTCTTTTTACGTCTAAATTTTTTTCAAAAATGATCAGGATCGTCCGAAAGGTTAAAAACGTAGTTTGAGCGATGTTTATTTTTTTCTAAAACAACAAAGCATAGTAGTAATATTGTGTAAGAATTTCATCGAAATCCGAGGGGTCGTTTTCAAGTTATAGGCGGCTTTAGGATTAGCGCCTATAGTCGTGGGAAGTGTAACTATTACGTTAGTATTTCCATACATACATACATATATACATATATTTTGTCTTGATCGGAATCTTAGAATACATCTGGCATACAATTAACAACAGCACTGTTGAACATTTGTTGCCTTTCATGCAGCTTTCCTATTGAAATCCTTTCCATTCAATAATAAAAGGGCTTGTTGCAAAGGTAAACCAGTTAACGGTGCAGTTCGTTCCCTCATTTGATAAGACTGTATCTAAAAATTACTTAGGATAATAGCGAATTGCTAAGCTACTCGACAGTTTTGTTGTTTGCAACGCACTTCGAATGTTTCTGTTATGGTGTTCATAACTGATGCATAATTTTGATGTCTGTTTTGTTGTTTAAAGCAATTTCGGACTGACAAACTCTTATTTTAAAGTGCCTACTTTGATTTTGTATGAGCTGGCCTAATATAAATAAATCCAGTATTTCATTTATCCTGTTTAGTACACCCAATAGTGCTGCATCTACACAAACTGTTTCGAGAACGCTTATTTCTTTACGAGATGCTTGTACTGCTGCTCAATATCAAGAAGCTTTCTTCAGAATAACACTGACTTGTTCTGCCTTTATCGCACCTTGGATTCCAAGAAGCTGTGCGACCATACCCACTTGTTGTCATATGCGCAAATTATTACAGTTGTCATAACTATCCAGTGGCGTGAGATCTGGGCTCCGGAGAAACCACGGAATCTCCCCTCGTCGCGATATCAGTTTTCCACTAAACATTTCGTTTACAACTGCTGAAGACTCAGTATGACATGTCGCGCCATCTTGTTGAAACCAGGTCGTGCTATGGTAGGCTTCAAAATTATGCAATTATGGAAAGAAAAACATTGCTTCGGCAAACGCACGGCGTAGATGGTGGTCCTGCGGTTTCAATTCCTGCACTGGTTGAAGTTTATATGGGTGCTATTTAAGGTTTTTCACCAAAATACGCCTTTCAGATGTTCTTGATCTGGCGAGCTCAGCTGATCTCTTTCGGGATGATAACTGTGGATCGCACCGCATCTTCGCTTACAGCTTCCTCTGTTCGTATTGACTTCGACGTCTCGCAGGTTTATGATTCAGTGTCGAACCGGCAGACTCGAACTGATCACACTTTCACTAGGACATTGATTTAGATCAACTCATACCGAAGCAGACGCTGTAAGCCTTCCTTTCCGCAAAAAGTCCAGAAAAGATGGAATGCAATGAAGATTCCAAATTTTCTGCACAATCACAGAAAGGGGGTTACCATTAGCTTCCGGTAGCTCAGTCGGTGGCATGAAGACATCTACAGGCGTGTAGCTGTGTGTCGACCATGGCATGGCTAGAGGATAGAAGAACAAACAGAACACAAAAATCTAACAGATTTTATTTAACTTGAAAAGCACTTTCCTTACATTTGAAATTGAAATTTTAAAGAACAAAATAAAAGTTTTAAATCTTTGGAGCTGCTATAAAATTATACACTTATCTTTCGCTAAGCTGGTCCATTTTGACTGGACTGAACATCTAGTGGCTTCAAAACTAGATGTAGGCGAAGTAGAACTTAAAGGTGATGGCGCTGCCAAGGCACATGCATGGGTGAAGTGATAGGCCAAGCAATGCAAAGTCAAAGACAAAGGCAAAAGTCAAAGACAACAGCAAAAGTCAAAGACAAAGGCAAAGGGAAAGAGGGTGGCCCCAATCTGAAAAAGAACCGTGTGCATTAGCAACGTGCCCCAATGGCCAAGGCATTTCCAATCTCAGTCTGCCTCAAAAGAGAACCAACGATTTTCTAGGTTAGAATTACATTACATAGTTTGATAAAATCAAACCGAAAATTGGAAATGCCTTTCATAAAATAAAATCATGAAATAGCAAAAAAAAGCGTAAAACAAGATGGTGGTCATCAAAAATTTCTCCACATGCTTCTGATATAAAAACACAAATATCGAATATTCATAATTAACGTACTCATAATTTCACTGAACTATGAATATATATACGCACACAGAGGTAAAATCGATGTGGATCGGTTTCTACCTCGATTTGATTAGTTATGGCGAATGATCGAAGTAGTCGAAAATGACGTTCGATGGATATTTTAAAATGTTAAAATCGTACAAGAAATAAACTACTTACATATCGATTATCTATAAACTACAGGCAGATCCAGCAATAAAACTGTATAGTATTATAAAACTCACCATTTTAGCCTATTTGGACACACATTTTACTAAATGCTAGCACATGGTGCTATATGACCTCATGCTACAGAGAACAAAATTCTCAGCGCTCTTGTTAGATCGGCGGCTCAAGTGAAAAGGAGCGCGAGGAAGATCATAAATCAGGAACTCCGCATCAAGTGCGCTCCAAGCGGAAATGTTTCCAAGTAAAAAAGCTAGAGATGGGATTAATGAGTTGCGATTCTGAAATGATAATCGAGAAGTGATTTAATAAATACAATCGGACGGTGAAACCGTTACAACGCCGCACAATAGTGTACGAATCTCATTTTTTGTAATAAGCATTAACACAGAAACGCTCTATGGCGACTAAATTTCCGAGAACCAAGCTACTTATCCCCACTACCCGTGTCCCGTCCCGCGTGCCTGTCAAGAGCAATGCGGTTTTGAAATTCGTACGTCTTTCTGGTCCACCCTGCATAATACACCTATGAAGTTTCTATCAATACTACTACTATCACGAAAACAGTACGTGAACAATACGATATGATAATGTTTTGGAAAAAGGTAACATCAAAGGATTTAGCCGAACGTACTAAGGCGTCTACCTACAAAAAGCATGAGCCTCTATTGACATTTATGCCAGAGGTTTAAATCTCAACTCGCACCAAACTTTCTTTTTAATTATTTCAGTTTTCACCTAATACTATTTCTTTTATTCTGACCTATTCTAACATCACTGTAGACTGTATGATATTGCTTACTTTATATTTAGATTTAATTTTCAACCTCGTAGATAGAAGTCATTTTGCGGACTATCGAGTACAAATTAGCAGTAATGTTTGTCAGTTTATAGCATTTGTTATCTAGGCCTACAGGATACTACTAAAGACAAAGTTAGTATGGATTGGTAAAGCTAATGATCAATGCCCTACCTTACCGATAAATTACAAGCATGAATCTATATAGTCAATGTAATCTGTTACTTTAAATTCATAATTATGATTTTATTTCATACTCGTATAAGTACATTTAGGTTGGTGCAGTTCTGGGTCTTGCAAAATGGCGGGTTCACCTATCGCGGCATTCGGATTTATGGATCAAATTATAGCATTTCTCTCAAAAAATCTAAACACCTAATGCTACAAACTAATAAATAGATATTCATACGCTTTGATTTTGGAATAGGTCAGAATAAGACAATTCAGAAGAGAAAGACAAAAATTAACTGGCTGGTACGGATGGGATTTGGACCTCCGACCAAATAATGCGCTCCACCAGATTACGCTACATATTGGTATTCAAGTTGGCGAAAGTGTCATCATATTCCAAAAAGGAACCTCTCATATGATGACTTATTTGAAAATGACGAAAAAAAAAGAGAGCTAATGGCATTCGTTATTGAACAACGGAGTATTTTTAATATTTAATTGTTTATATACAGTCCTTGCAGTGGTAGTCTAGTTAGTATACTTTCACCATAAGTATATTGTTTAAAGTCTAAACTGTTGTACGAGTAAATGGAAAATACAGCATTTTATAAGACGCATTTTATCAATATTTGGCTTGGCAAACCATTGGTAGGTGGAAATCGTCAGATTTCTCACCTACAGTATTTTGAGTTTTTCAAAAGATCGGACTCATTTGTTTGCTGTGCGTTCGTGCGTCTCCATGGACTACTAGACCTATACGGCCCTGACGAGTTTCTACTGAGCACGAAATAACGCTGTCTGCGGCTGGTCATCGATACCGAGATGGAAAGCAAACATGTGTATTTCAACCTAGTCTATTTATGCATATATGTGTATATGCGTATCTCTGTGCATACTTAATATTCCGACTCCTAGATGGATCGACCATTGTGATGGTGCGACATCTAGCTTTTCATTGTACAGAACGTCGAGCAGATCTTCATCATATGGTATGAGGATGCAGATCAGCTTGGCGAACCACTGGTAGGTTAAGATCGTCAGATTTCTCACCTACTTCCGCACTGAATTTTTAGTTTTGCTTATTGCTCAATATTTTCCTCTTACTTCTCAGTAGGGTAGTGTGCGCCTTGCGATATTCACATATAGTGGCTGATAGACGTAACTTTGTGACTTAGTAATATTATTATACTGTCTCGCGTGCATGACAGCTATCCCAAAACACAATATTCCCGACGTCCTATATATATTTTATCAAAACATTTTGATCAAAAATATAACGATGTATTTTATAATATGTTCTAGAATTTCTTATTTAGCTTTGTCCAACGTGAATTCCTAAAATCACATCATGGAGTGGAGCAATACTTCGCCCCACCTGTACACCGCCATCAACAGCTTTCTCTCTCCGTTTCAGGGAATGAATGGTTCATAACCTACCAGCAATGCACATTCATACAACATATTGAATTCTTCGTTTGCTAATTTTTCCGGAATAGAGCATATAAATGGAAATAGATAGTAAATAAGGAACTGGTTGACTAAACTATCATTAGTAACAGATATTCTAATCAGTTACGTGGTATACGAGTACTTTATTTGTCTCTGCGAAACGTGTGGGTTCGGGATACAGAGGCGTTTTCGTCACGAGCAACGTTACTATATATTTTTTCCGCGTTAATTATTTCTAACATTTAAGGCGATATCTAATGTATTTGGATATCCACCGATCATATAATACATCGGGATTTTAAATTTATTGCGATAGAATCTGCCCACCTGACGAAAACGGCTTTGAAAGAAAACATCTCTGGAAAATTCAGGCGAAAAGTTCAAAACTGTTTTTTTTGGTTTGTTCTTCAATTTTTACCACAAAAGTGGTAAGAAAGCCAGTGCCAAGCGACGTATGGTGAGTCAACTTCACTTTTTGGTAAATGATGCATGCAGGTTACCAAGGAATAACTCTTATTCTTTCATGATGAAAACGGTAATTATGAATTTGCATCTCTGCAGGATTGACTCAACTCGTGGCACTCATATCGGAAGTTACTGATCGATAGTGGTGCCTGGCTTTTGAAATTATCTTTGAATCTAGTTCAGTAAGACGAAACATAAAATAACTTCGAAGCAACGCCAAGACGCGTGTACTTGTTGCTTTAGTAAATGTTCCAAGTTGCAAGAACAATCTGCTACAGCATCCGTGAACTCTGCGACACAATGGAAACTATTTTGCGAATCAATAAAGATTAAAGTTTGGAGTCTTTAGCTCTCTTGGAAAACTGGTAATTGAGGGCTCGTCGAATCTCTTGTAAATGATCTTAAACAGTCTACTGTTTGGAAAAGACTTTTCACATTCATTGTTGTGTTTTGCCTCACTCATTTTACCTCTCTATTAACTAGTAAAGTGGTGCTATAAGTTTTTGGTAAGTGCCGTAAAACCCTCTTTTGTTGTTGACTGAACACCAAAATGCTGGCCTAATGTATTGTGGAATGCAAATTTGCTTTCTGTGGCATATTTGCTGTCTAAAACATGCTTGTAGCATAGTTATACAACATCTTAAAAGACACATTTTGAACTGTTGCAGTTGTTTGTACAACTATTTTAAACGGCATATTTGCGCGGTAGTCAAACTAGTTGTGTTGTGACATCCATGGTAACATTTATATAACAAACTCGGGCCTTGTTGCTTTAATGTGCAAAATTACTACTTTAACAAACAAATTGCTCCCGACTGTAGCATTTATACAACTGTCGATTATTAACTGTTAAAGGCTGTATATCTGCAACAATATCACAATATTTATACAACTTCACCGCCATAACTAAACTTTCTGCTGTCATCTTTTTAGGTTAAATGTCATAACCATTATCTTAAGACAAGCAACGCATGAATATTAGTTTCAAAGGTTCTATCAAATTTCCAAACAGATTATATAGATGTGCTACAAACTCTGAGTTAAGAATTTGACTCTATGCGTACAGCTTTTCTAGAGATTTGCTGTAAAACACCTGCAGATAATGCAAAAATGTTAAATAAACCAAAGATAATATGGACGATGCCATAATTACACATAACCGCTCGCCATATTGAGTAATAAATATATGCCTCGATGGAAAATCGAATAATTCTGTTTAAGTCCGATATTGCAGACATAAAATGATATACTAGTGTAATTATGTCTAAATATAGTATTTGTGGATGATTTAACGCAGACAAGTTCAAATTTTTATCTTAAAAATCTAGACATATTTTGATCATTTTTAAAATGAATCATATCAGAAGCCGGTATTAAATTGCGTCTCTACTTTGTAGGATAATCAGAATAAAATTTGCTGCGCAAGTCATTCAATAGCCCTATGTACCTGTGATTGAAATACACAATGGCCGATATAATAATAATAATAATAATAATAATAATAATAATAATAATAATAATAATAATAATAATAATAATAATAATAATAATAATAATAATAATGTTTATTGTCACAAAATACAGGTAAATATCAAATATTGTGCACAATAAACATAAAGCACCCAAAAAAAGTTTGTACTCGTGTTTGGGTTTGCTAAAAATGAAAACTAATGGTACAGTCAGTGTGCTGAATTATTATGGTAATGTCAGGAAACATATCTAGACAATTATAACTAAAGTAAAAGTATGAATGTTAGTGTAAATAAAATGTTATAGATTTTGGTAATGATTTTTCAGATCTAAAATATGTAAGTAAACAGACTGTAACGTGTTAGTTATATATTCTTGGCTGCAATAAAGTAGAATCATGTAACAGAATGGTTGGTTAGTTGGCAATAATTGATTCTTGCACTGACGCAAATGTTCTTTCGCGTCTACACTTTGTTGTATAAGTACATATTACCTGCAAACCTTGTACAACCTCTTAAATGAGTGAAGTGTCCTATTAGATGTGCCCATTCCGCTTGTATAGATGTTCTACCAATGCTCTTGCAACATACAATGCTGTGTAAGGAATACTGTATAATCGTTCTTGCAACCCTAATAGGAGTGATAATTGTTAGATGGGCTAGCACAATGGCCTGCTCTAATAAGCAATTGGTAAAAAAGAATGACGTTTAATATTTAGTTCTGACTTTCTCTGAGGCTTCAATTGTACCTCTAAGGCATTATAAGAAGAAGCAAAGCACTACCATATAAAAATCTCACCTCAGCAAGATCACATATCAGCGACGTAAGATGCAATAATGCTAATAATAATCGAGGATTCTGAAACAAAAACAAGAAAAATAGTGACATTCCTAGTAAGATCGGTTACTTGGCATGCGTAATAGGAACATTTTACCTGTGTCGTGTACGGTATAAGTGCATACACAGGTAAGGAAAGCTGCCCCGAGACGGTCATATATCATACAGGCCCGTAACTGACTAGAAATAGAATGGTCGGTACTATCAGGATGTGCAATTGTGAAGTTTATCACAACGAGTGTGTAATACTTTAACCGGACGGCAAATGGGAGGCGGACATGTTTTTTACTTGTATTTCATAACGACTATGGAAACAATAACAAACTGGCAGTATGATGTCTCATAAGTTTGTTGATCATAGCCTTTTCTGTATACGACTAATGGCTGACAACCGAACCCTAGATATTTGAAACGACGTTGACTTCGCTTGACTATACTTGAAATCAAAAGTTATACTAATTGTTTACAGTGCTTTTGAAAAAGCACCCCACTATTTATTTTTTGGGCGGGTGAAGTTAGAAAGCTGAAATTCGTGGTGATGGAATTGATGCATGAAGTTTCAAAGTAAACATTCCAATATGGCGGATGATCTTGTAACATTTTTTAAATAGAACCGGGGCCATGCAATATCTCATATTAGAGCTTCTATCTTTTAAAACGGCAAACTGTCAGGCAACTGACATCGAATAACTCAACAACTAACAATCAAAACGCTATTGAATGCTATATCCGTATTCTTCGCTCACAAAGATAATAAAATATGGAATATTTCATTTAAGAATTGTCAAAATCTGTCAAAATGTTTAAATGGAATGTTTCATATTTTATAGTACATCCTGATAGACCATTTTAAGAATATTAATATCAGACACTATAGCGTTCTGATTACTACTTGTTGAGTTATGAGCGATTCATTGTACAAAAATGCTCAATTTTGACAGCACTCCAATCCGCCATTTTGAATGTTAAGGGAAATTGTTATGAAGTATTGATGAGGAGCCTCAAAATGAGGTATCACATGACCCCCATTTTATTTAAAAAATGTTCCAAGATGGCATCCAGCCGCCATTTTATAATTTGCAAATGTCACTTTCAAATTATCGGTTTTAGTCGGCAACAGACTGATTTCAACACTGTTTTCAAGTCAACTCCAATAATACATTCTAATTTTGAACGTTCCCAGAGAGCTCAGTAATTAATATTTTTCGAAGCCGGAACTATTCCCGTCATTTAAAAAATATTTCGACCTTTTGTTCACCTTAACTTTTCAGCATTCTTCTGTTGAGAAAAAATATTTGCTAACTAGGCTACACATATTTCTCATACGGTATTTTAAATCAAACCAACATCGCTGGCTAATGGCTGAGAGCCTAGGGCCAATTGCAACAAAAAAAAGAGGATCGGATCAAATCCCTTCAAGTCTATAAATCATCATATATGTTAACTTCCAGTCCCTAAGTTTGCATTAGTCCGCTCCTGTTCGGGGTGGCCGCCACTCGGTGTCCCGTTATAAACGAGTCTTGGGATGGCGCCGTTCAAGAAATACCACAACATACCCGTTCGGCTCTACAAGGAGCTGCCAATCTCACTTTCAAGAGCAAGACTCGTTCCGTTGTCGTCCGAAGTAGCAGAAAAAAATAAATCTTACGTGCTTTTCTAAGAAGCACTAGATTCACTGTGGCTGGATACTGCTGTATAAGAAGAACGATCAGCGTCTATGATTTTTATTGCGCACGAAGTGAAAAGCTTGATCGAGACGCATCACCTTTTTGCAATCGTAAATAAATGCTTCTAGTTGGAACTCGATTTATATACGAGAATATCACAAACAAATTAATAGATGGATTTTACAAAGGAATTGTATCCTTGATGTCCCTGATGGGTGCAAGTAATTTTACTGGGTTACTTTTTACAGTCTCTTGGAGAACCTATATTTAAAAAAGCATGTAGTATTTTTAGAAGTTGCATTAAGAAGGACATGAAAAAGCTTCCAAATAAGACCTTATGTATTAATTTTTGTGTTGATATTAATTTGCTATGGTAAAATGCACGGGAAATCGTCTATTTTAAGATTAACTTTGTACTGGAAATCATAACAGTAGGCACGAAATAACAACCGAAACATATAACATTTTCGTCATCAAAAAGAAATCATCCAAAAGCTATCAACGAGGTCTCTTATTGATAGTAACTTTTTCAGAGAAATAGCCTTCTTGGCGAGCTACCTATCGACGTAAATGCTGCAGCAAGTTGGTCTTATTTTGGAGGTCAATGGGGAACCCAGGATTCCGTGTGGAGGGAAGGTGGTAGATTTCCAATTGACAACAATGCAATAACAGTTTCGAAAGTTTTCTCTGAAAAAGGATAAATAACAGCATGATTATACTTTGTTTCTCATTGGGGGACGCCTTTGTCACTGATTAATATGTTCAGCTTATTCCTAAGTGATACCTTCTTTCAAATTTCCCCATATTTATTAGTTTTCTAAAATATTATTGAAACAGCTATGCTAGAAAATACGTCTCCTTCAGCGGACCGATCTCATACCTTGTTGCTTTAAAAGCTGATCTTGCTTTGTTTATTTAAACAACTTAGAGTGATTTATAATTGTCCGTTATAAATCGTAGTATTAATAACGATATCTGAAAAAGCGTAATTCAAACCAAATATTCCTTTACTTCTTCGCTTTACGAAAGCCTATGGTAAAAATACAATTTATACGATGCTATAAATTTATCGTTGATATATCATTTGACCTTCTTATCTAATATTTGACTTTCTTTTGTTTCAGTTTGCATCGGAACCAAAGGACGCATGTCAGTCCCATCTAACAGAGAGCGCCACTACAGGAACTTGAAAGACAGATATACGAACTGCACATATGTAGACGGCAACCTGGAATTGACCTGGCTTCAAGATGACAACCTGGACCTCAGCTTCCTGCAGGAGATCCGCGAGGTCACTGGCTACGTTCTCATTTCACATGTGGACATCAAGAGAATCGCCTTGCCCAAACTGCAGATCATACGTGGAAGGACGTTGTTCAAAATGAGTGTTCGCAAAGAAGAGTTTGCCCTGTTGGTCACGCTGTCCAAAATGTTCACATTGGAACTGCCAGGATTGAGAGACATTCTCAAAGGAAATGTTGGGCTCTTCAACAATTATAATCTCTGTCACATCAGAACGATCAACTGGAAAGAAATCATATCAGACCCACACGGCGTGAATATCTATGAGTACAACTTCACCTCTCCTGAACGAGAATGTCCTCCCTGCCACAAAAGCTGCAAGTTTGGTTGTTGGGGTGAAGGCGAAAATAACTGTCAGGTGTTCTCAAAGGAACATTGCAGTCCCCAGTGTGACCAAGGGAGGTGTTTTGGTCCAAATCCTCGCGAGTGCTGCCATCTGTTCTGCGCCGGTGGATGCACAGGCCCTAAACAAAGTGACTGTATAGCATGTAAAAATTTTTACGATGATGGTGTGTGTACTTTAGAGTGTCCTCCGATGCAGATCTATAACCCGACGACCTACTCGTGGGAAGTGAATCCCAGCGGAAAGTACGCGTACGGTGCCACGTGCGTGAAACGGTGTCCTGAACACCTTTTGAAGGACAACGGGGCTTGTGTACGGACGTGTCCTCCAAATAAGAGAGCTGTAGACGGAGAGTGCGTACCTTGTGATGGGCCATGTCCTAAGACGTGTACTGGAGAAGGGGTGATCCACTCAGGAAACATAGAGAGTTTCAGAGGATGTACAGTGCTTGAAGGGAATATCGACATCTTGGAGAATAGTCTACTAGGTTACACGTTTTTCTATCCGAACTATACCTTCGGAGAGAAGTTTGGACCTTTGCACCCTGACAGGCTAGAGGTCTTCAGTACACTAAAAGAGATCACAGGCTATCTAAACATCCAAGCGACGCACAAAGACTTCAGAAACCTGTCGTACTTCCGTAACCTAGAAGTGATTGGTGGTCGAGCATTGTACGAATACTCTTCGTCATTGTACATAGTTAAAACTTCGTTAGAAACGTTAAACCTGCGATCGTTGAAGCGGATCAATATGGGTACCGTTGCAATCTTGGAAAATAAAAACTTATGTCTGGCAGATGGTGTGAACTGGAGGTTAATCAGGAAGAGTCACGAACATCATCTGATGTTAGCCAATAACAGTGATGCAATGAGTTGTGAAGCTAGGGGATTGGTTTGCGATCCACAATGCAGTAAAGATGGATGTTGGGGTCCAGGACCAGAACAGTGTCTTTCGTGCGCCAACTTCAGGCTTGGCAACACTTGCTTGCAGAATTGCAGCGTATTACCTGGGTAAGTTTCTGATTTCACGAATATGCGATTTAAAAGTTTTTTGACTACACAAAATCAGTATTACTAAGGTTCTGCAGGTGGGTCCTTCTGATCTTAAGTGATAATAAAAAAACGAAGTGAATTGTTATTAAGAATTCAGTCCCATTTCTATTTTCTGGAAAATATAAGTCAAACATCTTATGTATTGTCTCCCCGAGCTCAGTCTGTAATACTTTGTCGTTACCATGAATGAAAATGAACATGACCACAGCAACATCGATCCTATGATCCTGACACCTATGATGGCGAATATTTTGAACCGTTGCTATAATACCTCATAAATTGATATTACCAAACCTCAGTTATTTAAAAATGCAGAATTTTCTATGTAGGCCTTGAAATTAACAGATAGTCATTTGTTTCGTAAACCAGATTTATTCAAAATTCACTATTATTTTTTCCTGACTTCATTTGAGATGGGATTTTAAAATAAATTGCACGTTGTCACTTTTTTTTAGACTTTGTTTTTTTATTGACCCTGTAGTGGGATTTTGTAGATTTAGATGGACTTTTCAGTCCTAAATTCAATGATGTACTTCCTTAGTCTGCCATGAATCTGTTGACTGATAAAAATTTTAAGGAAATAATTTAAGTATGGTGAAACCTGAACACCTGAACATTTTATTCATGGTAATAACAATAATAATTATGAATAAGCAAAAATAAATCATAGCAGATGTTCAAAATGTTCGTTATTTTGTAAGCAAAGCCTGACTCTTTTCTGCACATTGTGCAATGCTCGATTTATTTCTTTTCTTCTAAGTCTGTCAAACTCTCTTGCTATGTTTAATTTGAGGTCTGCTGTGGTATACGACACAAATGAAATCTGATAATTCCAAGGCCTACCTAGGGAATTATGTTTTGCTGGAATAAATCAGGGCTGGCAATCTCAATTAAAAACCCTATTTATCTGCGCAAAAATCTAATATGGCGTCAATAAGAAAGAATAAAAGTGATGCTGGAGGACAAGAAACGAAACGTGATATTATGCCATTCTCGAGTTGAATTACATGAGGATTCCACGCTTATCTCCTCAGACGGTTTAGGAAGCAAAAGTGGTTACATTTTGACACCAGCATCAACTACAGGAGTTACTTTTTTAATGTAACGTATAATGTTACGGTTAAATACAAAGTTACAAAATAAGTGCGAAATAGAAAATATCACATTTTACAAAGCATATTAGCACATACATTTCTCCAGTGATTATGGAATTATGTGCAATTAGCACGAAGACAAACGACGTTGAAAAAATACACGTGCCATTCCATTGGTTTCCCAGAAAATCATAAATCATTATATTTTGCAATAAGCAGAAACTGCATATGTGAAAATACCGGACTGCGTAGTTTACAGTATTGAAGAGTACTTCTTGACTTTAAAAGGAAAAAGAGAAACAACAGTTAACTTTATTCACTCTTAAGAACACATATTGCTTAGAAATAAAAATTAATTGATACATTTTTCCCAGGATTGTAATACTTTTACTTAAATTCAATTGCTAGAAAAAACTGCATATATTGAAAACTCACAATGGAAAAGATATACGAAAATATCATCTTTTATCACCATAAGTTACCACGTGTAAGTAGCTGTTTACTCTATAAAATTGATCAGAATGACTACATCATGGAAAAACGCAATCGTCTCTTCGCAAAGTACAGATCTTTTTCAAATTCATCTGGATCTCTTACCATTGTGTTAAGCAACTTCTTGATTTCTCAGATGTTCCACGAAGGAATAGTGTTTCAAGTTCAGACTTTAAATAGGCCATAATACCCCAATCCAAACTTCTTATGCTTCAATAAAAAAAAAAACACGAACAACCATAAGAGATGCCTGATTTCATCTAATAAAGAAAATCACAATGTTGGGTTTGAAAGGGTATTGAACTCTCGCATTCTATTATAATTGGAGTAATGAGTCAGTACTGTTTTTTAATACTCACGCCACTCTGATAAACGCGGAGTGTCGAAAATGAGATATTATGGTTTTTGGATGTTATATGACACGTACATCACGAAAAACCATGTCACTCATTTCCGTCGGTCGATCTATCTATGTGTCTGTCCACAAATCTTATGACCGCCTAAAACTTTAGAAGTACCGTTTGGTTTTGGCCGTCGATACTCAGATTTTATATTCATTTACTAGTAATGACTTGGAAAAAGTAGCAGTAGTAGTGGTAATCATAATCTGCGTGTAACACCTTTAAAGACAAATATGTCAATATACACAAATTAAACAAAAACGAATGCTTTAAAAATGAGAGACATAAATTTAAAGGGTAATAAAATTCCGTGGATCATTCTAAGGCGGCGTACAGACCGAAAATCCAACGCTGAGCAAACGAATGCAAGCACATGTGGCGTTGACGTTTGTTGTTGGAAGGTATTGGAATGCGCTCGTCTACAAAAGTCAGAAAAAGTGTTGTACTATCTAATCTCCCAGTGCTACGATATTCTCATAGTTTTATTTTTATTTGCAAATTAGGCTATGTTACATAAATCTGCGAGAAGGCAATTGTGCGAGTCTTTGCTGTTTCCAAAAATACTGGGTTTACTATCACTATTAATATATTATAACAAAAGATCATATTCAAAGCATAATGAATACATGTTGCAGACCTGTAAATGATCTCAGAAAATATTATCATGTATCGAAGGCCATGAATGAGCTCAACTGGATGAAAATTGGTAACATGTAAATATACTAGCTCCTGAATCTGACTCATAGGGTTGTTTATTCAAAAGCACCGTCATATTTAGTAACCAAATTCATACGGAACGGAAATATGCATGGCATTTAAATTAGATATAAACTAATATAGAGATACTTTTTCAATTCCACGCCGCAGCACATCTCTATTTCACTAAACATACATATATTTACAATGCCTTTTCATTAATTATGCTTTATTATTGTCAGTATCTAAATCCTCCTGTAATATTGTTACACATAAAACGGACGTTAATTATTATTATTCTTCAAACGTTACGGATTTTCCGGTACATTTGCTCTTAAAATGACAGAGAAACGTATCCAACAGATGGATATATGCACGTCGCGATCCGGTCGATAGGCCAGGGAATAGAGAGGCTTTGGATAATAAAACTACAAGGAGTGTATCCGATAATGTTTTTTGTTGATAGCGTTAAAATGTTGCTTTTTAATGATAAGTTCAAATTGGCGTCGTAGTAGGACTGTTGCATGAGCCACTATTTTGGTATTTGTAAATGCAAATATCTGGCGAACGATGTAGGAAAGTAATAGAAACATTTTTGTAGGGAATTAAATTCACCTATCATTGTGTTTGTATCAAAATGCCTTTATAGTTAATAGTTTACGAGGAATTGAATGACATAGCTACATGTACTGATATTTACGCCTTTAATGGCTAAACTAACAATCTAAGAATATAAAGGTTGATATATCTTTTACACAAAATGAAATTTGATAGAAAGAAGTATTTTATACTTTTTCATCAGCTAAGTGGCTCTTGAAGTTTAAGGAGTGAAACATATAACATTATTTAGATAATTTTTTCTATCAAGAAACTCATATAGCTTTCTGTAATGATACATACTGCTTTTGAAAATGGTTTCCATCTTGTGATTTAAGCTGTTTATCTATCATCATCAAAGGATAAAATAGCCTTAGAGTAGTTCAAGGAATCACTTCTTGAGTTGTGTTTCATATTTAGGAAATATTCCGTATAATATAGTCATTCTTGTTATCACTACTTTTCAGAATATATCGTGCAGACAACAACGAATGCAAGCCATGCCACTCTCAATGTGGTTCTGGATGCCACGGTCCTGGAGCTGAGAACTGTACCACCTGCAGAACACTCAGAGATGGGAATAGATGTGTATCAGAGTGTGCCAAACATCAGTACGTTGAACATGGACAATGTAAGAGGTGCCATGCCAACTGCGTTGAAGAAGGTTAGATTTTCTCATATTGTCTTTTCCAATTTTGAGTTACCTTCCAGTGCTTCTTTAATTGCATTAAGCAAGGAATTTTGCTTTTTACATCCCAAGCCATTGTTGCAGTTGGTGATTTGCATTTGATCAATTGCTATATCATTTTCACCAAATTCGAATTTTTCAAGTGCTTCCAATTTGTTGGAAAGTCGGATTCCTTCAAAAGCCAAGTAGAAAAACAGTGGTTCAGAATGCAAAATTATATGACATATTGGTGTATGCAGCTCATTGGTGGCTATATTTTCTACAGTAAATACACACATCACATCCTTAAGGTTTACGTTGAGTTTTCCACAGTTTTTATAGGATGGCCCATACGTTTTTGAAATTTCTCCAACAGGCGAGACTTAGAATGTATTCACTTATTTCAAAGAATTACGTCGGGGCTGCGTGGAATGTCTCCGCGTAAGATTACTTCCTTAGGGAACATTTATTTAACAACTGATACTTTCTTGCTGGATGTATGGCAGGCCGCGCGATATTGTTGCATCCAAGTGATATTACTATAACCAACACACTGCTGCAACTGCGACTGAAAAATTCTCGTAGCATTTTCACGTACTCTGCAGAATTTTGAGTCGCAGGATTACTGCAAGACCGATAATGAAGTTTGAGGACAGCGCCGCCCAAATAGAGAATTTAGGTGGCTTCGGTGGTGTTTTAACTTCGGGTTTTCCCTGTTCCAGAATCTGCAACTTTATTCATTTACATGTTCATTCAAGTGGAAGTGGGCTTCGCCTGGAATGAAAATGTTATTGAAGTTGCCGGACCGCCCGCCCAACATTTATCGACTCGTGATTTTCTTTAAATAAATCATTTTGTTTTAACTCCTGTACTAAATGTATTTTTACCCATGACTTAATTAAATTGACACTTGGGCACTGATTAATATTGTGCTATTGGTAATCCAAACGAATTAGTTGGCGAGCAGCGACGTAAGAAACTTTGGTTTTGTAAAAGTGTTTTATACAGAACGAGCGTTATTCTCCTGTGAAACGATTCATGGTGGCTGGATTTCCAAGAAGCACGTAGCCGAACGTGAGTTGCCCTGGTCCCATATTCCGCTTTATATTCTCTTCTGTACGATTTTAAAAGTGCAAAAATGTATGGCCCACCCTATAGAAATGCCTGATTTTTTATACAGCCCAAGTTTTATGATACAAGGATATTCTGCAATCTATTGCCATATTGCTAGTCGGTACATTCAAACTTATCATAAAGAATTCTTACAAACATATGTCCTAAAACGTCTTATTACCAGTACAGATACAAAATGTTGAAAAGTCTTATACAAGTGATGAGAGGCAATCAGGACTAAACATGAATTTTTTTAAATACCCGCGGTTTTATTGATGTTTTCATATTTGATAACACTTTGTGAATTTGCTTAGCTTCAATGTAATATTCAGCACTAACTCTTCTTTTCAATAGGTTGTTCGGGTCCAAATGATATGGTGGGTGAAGATGGTTGTAACTCTTGCGAACTGGCCATATTGAATGGAACCAACTACGTTTGTCTGCACAAAAACGATTCATGTCCAGAAGGCTACTATTTTGAATACATAGGGCCACAGTTACACGAGGAGTCCAGTTTGAGACTATTGTCAGGAAAGGCTATATGTAAGAAATGTCATCCAAGGTGAGAAAATTAGTTGTAGAAAATAGGTGGAATACGTGGTTTAAAAGTCGTTTCAGTTTCATTATGATGCCGGAGGAGGAAGTATCTATCTGGAATGTAATTCAATGGAATACATGTTGCTATTTTACCAAGAATAACTTATAAGTTGCACAAACTAAAAACGAAATGATCTTTGTGCTGTATCAAAAATACTTCACTTAAGGTCTGACATAAACTTCAATTTTTATTGCTATGAGGCTTCTGGGTAAATACTTCGTCGTAATTGTCATCACATAGGTATATCCCTAAGGTCAAATAAAATACTAAACTTAATTCTTCAACTCTTGTACATGTGACAAAAACAGTACTTGTGAAGTTCTTTGTTTGTTAGTAACACTCATTTTTCCCAGTTTCCCACTACTAACCTAAGAAATCACCATTATTGACTGCAATGCCTTATTGAGAGGTAGCATTTCACTTTATATCTCTCTCTAGAGAAGTAATGAAAACAAAAAGACTAGGTATGTAATGATGTCGTTTGAAATACTGTCAATTTCAGAAGTGTGAGTTTGACAATTGAACTTTTTATTCCAGAATATATGAGAATGATTGAGAAATAAGTAATTTTGAGTATTATAGCTATATATAGGGTTATTACGTATAAAACCTATATAATGCTAAAAAAAAAAAAACGATAAAATGTCAACTTGTTGCCTAGATAGCTGATAGTGTGCAAGTAATTCATTCCGCTCCTGCTACTAGTGAGCATGAAGTGAACGACAGCTAGTTCTTAGTTGACATCTCGTAGGAAAACCTGCATAATGTTTTAAAAACTTACGTTATGTCAAAAAACAGCTAATGCCACCTGTCAAGTTACGTAATACCCCTGCCGCTGTCTGCTACAATCGTTAATTTGTCAGTTTGAAACAAGATATTTTAAGGTCTTTGTAAAATGAGTTGGAACCCAGTAAACATAGTGACGTCATAATGTCGGCATTTCTAGAGAATTACTGACGTACGCCGACCAACAAAAATGATGTAGAAGTGACGGTCTAATATCACACTTAACTGACGTCATTATATGACGTCATCGAATGTCGTATAAAAGAAAAAATACAAAGTTTATGCTTACATGACGTCTGTATGACGTGGATATCACGTCTATCTGAGGTCCATATGACGTACAGACGTTCGCAAAAATAATCGCGCGGTGTATCTAAATACTCCTTAAAAATTGAGGATGCGACAACGGCGCCCTACATTATACTTTTATAACAAACAAGTTTTGAATTTATATTTGAATATCTAGTTTACCTTACTGTTCACTAAAAGTCTATATTTTCTTAGTAAATAAGTGTTGATTTTTTAGTACTGTGTGTCCTAAAAGAGACTTTAAATTGACACCTTTCAAAGGACGTTTTGTTGTCATCATAAAAATGGCGTCAATAAAGACGTCATTTTTTAGTCAATGACGATTCCGACCAAAAGTGACCGAATAACCAAAAGCCATTTTGGCCTCATCATGTTCACTGGGAAACGTCATGATCGTGATGTAAAATCGAATATTTTGTGATATTGTATAGTGTTAGTAATGAAAAAAAACCTAAACATACGAAGGCCATTATTGGTCTCACACATTATATCCTTCGTCGCTAAGTTATAAAAGTCATCGCCCAATAATGCCCACTTCTAGGTGAATAAATGATAACAAGAAACTCCTAGGTAAATTGTAATATGATTTAGAATTTTAGCTAACCTAACGTCATTATGTTAGTTTGAAAGCTTAAGCATATATACAGAAATAATTGAAAAAAGTGAAATAACAAATATGAGGTGCAGCTCGTCATGTAGATACCCTTCTTGGTTATTCCTTTAATCGGGAGAGTATTGGAAAACGGTTTTTAATGCTAGATTTAAAATACAACCAAGAACGTATAAACTTATTCCCCTCTGGAACTGAACTGCATCATTTATTCGAGTTTACCAGTTTGACAGCAGACTGCAGGATGGTTTAGAGTATAGAGTATAGATTACATAATATAAATATTTAAGTTTTGACAAAAAAAATAGTTTCAGTGTCACTTAGGCCCGTATCGTCAGTCGTCCCTACAATTGTAGGGCGCGTTTATGGCCTCCTTGATTGTCATAGTTTTCTGCTTCTCCGTGTCAGAACTCTATTTTGAGGTTATGTCACAAACATCTATTTGCATCAAATTGTGCTTGCTTTTGAGTTATATCATGTTTTATCAGCCTGAAATTTCCTGCAATTTGAAAAGAAAACATATCTTCACAATAGGAGAGCGCTGACGCTGACACGGGAAAAGTGTAATCTAGAAATTTTTGAAGGAGAGAAAGGAGGATGACAATCAAGGAGGCCATAAACGCGCCCTACAATTGTAGGGACGACTTAGCCACCCAATTTACGATGTACCTCGGTCACTGGCCAAAGTACAACAAACAGAAGACTCCGTCGTTACAAGCAGATTCATGTTCCCGATCTAATTTTTGTTTTTCCTTCTTTCAGATGCAAAAGTTGTTCTGGGTACGGCTTTCACGTGTCTAGCTGCACCTGTATGCATTACAAGAAAGGAGAACAGTGTGAAGAGGAATGTTCTGAGAACTACTACCCAGACCTGGATTCCAACGAGTGTTTGGCCTGCGATACGCAGGTAATTTCCATATCCTTGGAAGTAAAGATTTTTTGAGCTGACCGATTGCAAATTACATCCATCTCTATTACCAAAAAATACTATAAAGAATGGTTTCAACTTAGACATAATGGAGCAACATATGTCATGAAACCTGCTTCCTGTAGCTACTACTATTACTATTCGTCATTATCCATGAGAGCGGTCCGGTGGACCTTTGCTCTTAGTTAAAGCTTCCTGTAACACGAAATTAGTGTATTTATATAAGGTGTGTGTTGCCCTGGTGTTTATGTAAACAAGACAGTTGAAACTATTTTAAAAGTAAATTTTATACAACAAACATGCTGTTTCATGTTTGTTCTATGGGCTTTAGTACTTGAAACAATAAACATCGTCAGAATTACCCGTGGATATGCACATAAAGTAATTGAAATAAAGCATGTTTTCAGAATTTAAATTTACCAGAATATATAATATGCCAAAATATTTGTAGTCGTTGTAAAGTTATATGGGAATTATATGTTTCCGTTCATCTTGAGGTGTAGTTGAAATTGGGGCTCATTGTTTTTGAAGCGATGGTGGAACAATTTCATGTTGCCTGAAACAAGTTTCATGACATTTGTTTAAATATAGCATCATGCACTTTAAAGCATTACCAGTAGAATTTTCTCGAGTACTGCTGAATGCTGGCATTGAAAAACTCTTTATAAAAAAGGAGAAAACAGGTAAATAGAGATATGAAGGGAAACTAACTGTAATTTTTATTCAGGCTCCAGTGTACGAGCTTCCGATTCATACAATCATTAATCGGTGTTACAAAACTGATATTTTTATTCATGATTGCAGTGTCGGGGATGTACAGGACCAGGACCAAAGAACTGCCTCACATGCTTGAATTTTAAGCTATATGATGACGAGGACAACGGTAGCAATAGTTCCTTTACTTGTGTGGCCACCTGTCCACCAGAGGCTCCAAACAAGATTTTCCCAGATGACGGAGATGCACATTGTTCGAATAGGTCACCCTCAGCCCTGATCAGCGCCAGGTAGGAATGCTTTCGGATTTTTTAGCACGACATTGAAAAACAAGTTTTATATCTTTTACTTATCTAAAACATGGTTATATGTTGAATCTTTTTTTTTGCACTGAGTTCTTCATGGAATGTTGGCTATAACACGGAAAAATAGTTCCGTCTTGAGCGATTCTTAAAAGTGATTTAGGCCAGTCATGTCTATTACATTTTGTAAATTTTGACAGTATACCCATTTTTGCTTTTTCTATTTCCAAACCATGAGCACCTCCTTCCTTGTTACTGTTGGAACTAAGTCTTTAGTCTCTCCTGACTGTATTTTAGTATAACAGTGCCAACTACATAAGTATTCTTTGTGACGGCTGCAGTTACAATTTTTTGCGCACTAACTCTTAATAGCGTAAGATGATACTTTTTTCTGTAAGATACAGATACAGACAAAGCAAGGCAAGAGTTTGGATTGCATCCCATATTATCATAAAAATACTACACTGTATTCCATCCTGTTTTACATTTGGGCAAGACCGGACGACATCGACTACTGAAGAAATATATATTCAGATATCTTTCTGATGTAGTACAAGGGAAAAACGAAACTAAAGTTTTTCTTGTTTTTCAGGTCCTACGACATGCTGATCATTGTTGGAGTAGTAATCAGCGGCATCTTCATAACAGTGGTCTTCCTCGGTATCTTCTGCTACTACCAGAAGAAAGAGAAGATAAAAGAAAATGCGATGAAAATGACCATGGCTCTCACTGGTCTTGAAGACAACGAACCGCTACGACCAAGCAACGTAGCACCTAATGTAGCCAAGCTCAGGATAATCAAAGAGACTGAAGTACGCAAAGGAAGCATCTTAGGGTATGGAGCTTTTGGTTCTGTGTACAAAGGCGTTTGGGTCTTGGAAGGCGAAAACTCGGCTAAGATCCCTGTTGCTATCAAGGTCCTCAGAGATGATACTGGAGCTAATAGCAGCAAAGAGTTTCTGGATGAAGCTTACATTATGGCAACGGTTGATCATCCAAATTTATTGCAACTCCTGGCAGTCTGCATGACCTCCCAGATGATGCTCATCACACAACTCATGCCTCTTGGATGTCTCCTAGATTTTGTCCGGAACAACAGAGATAGGATAGGATCTAAAGCTCTGTTGAATTGGTCGACTCAAATAGCAAGAGGAATGGCATATCTGGAAGAGAAACGCTTAGTACATCGAGATCTTGCTGCGAGGAACGTGTTGGTACAGACACCCGCTTGCGTGAAGATAACCGACTTTGGCTTAGCCAAACTTCTTGACATTAACGAAGAAGAGTACAAAGCGCCAGGTGGGAAGATGCCAATCAAGTGGCTCGCTCTTGAATGTATTCAACATCGCATCTTCACCCACAAATCGGATGTGTGGGCCTTCGGTGTCACAGTATGGGAACTCCTTACATTTGGTGGAAGACCATACGATAACGTAGCTGCTCGAGATGTACCTGAATTGCTGGAGAAGGGAGAAAGACTGCCTCAGCCGGCCATTGCTAGTATAGAAGTTTACATGATTATGATCAAGTGTTGGATGTTGGATGCTGAGAGCAGGCCGTGTTTCAAGGAGTTGGAAGATGACTTCTCAAAAATGGCACAGGATCCTGGACGATACTTGGCCATACCTGGGGACAAGTTCATGAGACTGACAACTTTTTCTGCACCACAGGTAAGAAAAAACATGGACATGTCTAACAAAAGACTTAAATGGATCAAGTTGCGAACAATTTCTCTATCCTACCTATAATACCGGGTGTCTCAAATTCGACCCTCACCATTGAGATCGGAAACAGTAAGAGATCTGGAGTTGCTTAAATAGGGGCAAAGTTGCGTATTCAGGTAGCTAACAAAATGCTGCTTAGGAAGTTCCGAAATTTAGAGTACTTTCGGAGAGATACTGAAAAAAATACAATTTTCTCGTTTGTTTTTTACTCACTATCTGAAGTGGAAACTCAAAATAAGTTGGGCATTGAGATTGCCACTTCTTTTCCTTTACAAGATGACATCATGACAATTTCAATATCACGTTTCGTCTCTTATCCTCCAGCATCAACTTTATTTTTTCTTCCATATTGGATTCTTGCACAGGTGAATAGATTTTGTACTGCTGATACCAAAAATGTGTAATATGTCATACACTAACATTTCCAAACCATAGTTATTTTAAACAAGACAATTTTCTAGGTAGGCCTTGAAATTATCACTTATTTCGGATACCACATTTATGGTAAAATCATTAAGGACTTGAAACAATTTCAAAGTAAGTTCCACAATGTCGTTGTTACTTTTTCTCCTCTACAAGATGGTATAGTCAAATTTTCAATTCGAGGTTTCTTCTTTCGACTACCATCACCAACTTTGTTTTTTCATATGGATGTCATATTGGAATTTTGCACATTTAGTTTTCAGTCCTAAATTCAGTATTATTTTCTTAGTTGGCCATGAATTTGTTGTTGGAACGGAAATCATAAGGAAGCAGACGTAAATCATACTAGATGTTCAAAATCTAATCCGTTATTTTGTAGACAGAGCCTGAACCTTCTCTGTACATTGTAAAATGCTCAGTTTCTTTTCTTCTCAGTCTTCCAATCTCTGTTACTATGTTCAATTTGAGGTTTGGTGTGGTATATGAAACAAATGACTATCTGATAATTTCAAGGTCCAGCAAGGAAATTATATTTTTCTAAAATAATTAAGGCCTGACAATGTCAATGTATGACGTATTATACATTCTTGGAATCAAAATTATAAATTCTCATTGATGTGTGTAAAAATTAAATACGGCGTCTATAAGAAAAAATAAAGTTGCTGCTGGAGGACCAAAGACGAAACGTCATATGGAAATTCTAATTGTGCCATCTTGCAAAGCAGAAAAAGTGACAATGTTAATCTGCACTTTATCTTGAAATCCCACAATTTATAGAGTCAGGAAAAAATTAAAACAATTTTGGATACGGTTTTCGCTCTCACCTTTGGGTTTCAAACCTTTATATTATTCTGTTGATTACCAAAATAGGCAACTTTGTTCCCATTTAAGTGACTTCGTATCTCTTGCTGTTTGCGAATAATAACTAAGTCCTTATTTAATAAGTCGTAAGGGCAAATGTTCCCTACAAAAAATGTATGTGTAAAATATCTAGTACACCACTCAAAATTTTTCGTCTATAAAATTGTTCAAAAATGGGTAGGTGTCCCTGACACGTCAAAAAAAAAAACGAAGTTTGAGCGCTTTTTTAAATTGTTTGCCCTTAACCCTTCCGCCACTGGATCGGAAGTCTATAGAAAGGTCCATGACATTGTGTCGAAGTTGTATCAAATTCAGAGCTGTACCTTCTGAGTCATAAAAATTACAAGTATTAGCGGACAGACAAACAGACAGAATGATAGAGACAGACAGGCAGACAGGTCGACCCAAATTATATATTGGTATATTTATATATTTTTGGTAGTGTGCATGTTATGTAACATCCAATTGGCCTGAGCAGTAAAATTAACTTTTCTCTATATAAATAATTGAAGATAACGTAAATAAGAAAACCTCGGTAAATAATGAATGTCACATTTAAAATTATTTAGGTATTTCGTTTCATATGCTTTGAGATATTTTATGTATAGCTCGTCATATTATGTTTTGAATTACTGGAATCCCAGAGGATACAAGAGCGCCTTTTTATAAAGAAGTGAAACAAGGACCAGCAACATTTGGCTGAGCTTTGTATCAGATTTCTGAATTTTGATATGAGCTGGGCAATATATAAACCTAATCAAATTGAAAATGGAAATATGTATAGTTACTATAAATGAAACAATTGTATATACAGGGTGCTAATTAAGTATGGTACCATAAATTTAACAGAAGATTTATTCAGTTATTTTAAGAAAAAAGTTCATATAAACACAGGTTCACAAATTCTTCGTTCTCAAGATACAGGGCGTTAAAATTTAAAAAATGGTTTTTCGTTAATATTTATAATATGCTTTATTTAATTTTGTTGTAATTTGGCGGTGGTATTGATAACATTAAAGAGCTAAGTTACCCCTAACTTGATTAAATTTATCAAGTCCAGTGGCGTCTCAAGCGGAATCTGATTGAATGTTTGTAACAAAAAAAGTACGCCACTGACTTTTGTGCAATTTCTATTATATGCTTCGGATTAAGCAAATAGAAATACAACTTTTTGGTCTCTTGATTTTTTTTTGTATCTTGCTCAGTTTTCGAGAAAAAAATCCACTTAATTGCATATCCCTGGACCACACAAGGAATATGGGAAAGCGTTTCTTTCGGAAATTGTTTTTTCTTTGTAATTTTATTACTAATTATGTAACAACAGCAAATACTAAATAATATCAATATAATTAGTAATATAAAATTATAATAAAAAATAATTTCCAAAAGAACCATTTCCCCACATTCCTTGTATGTTACAGGGATATTGAATTAAGTTGACGTTTTTTCTTGAAAACTAAGCAAGATACGAAAACCCGCAAGAGACAAAAAGTTGTATTTCTATTTTCTAATCCAAAGAGTATAATAAAAATTGCACAAAAGACAGTAGCGTACATTTTTCTGTTACAAATATTCGTTCAGATCCCGCTAGAGACACCACTGGACTTGATAAATATAATAAAGTTTGAGCTAAATTATCTCCTCAGTGTTATAAATACCATCACCAGATTACACACACATATTTAGGTAAGGCATATTTAAGATATTTACGAAAAACCTTTTTTTAATTCTAACAGAACGAACAATTACATGAACAAACGAACTTACCTGTAAGTGATGTTCGATCCTAATTATGTGAAGTCCTCGCCACGATTTCAAAGCGCGCATGCAGAGAAGGAAAGCGGCACCGCGCTCCTTCCCCCTACTTTTCTCCCCTCTGGCCGCCTATAAACCTTCATTTACTTCAAAGCCAAGTTGTTGCAACAATTGGGTGATACATACTTCGACGAGGACTTCACATAATTAAGACCGAACATCACTTACAGGTAAGTTCGTTTGATCATGTAATTATGTTCCGTCCTCGACGAAGGAAATATTTAGAACACATATCGTAGATGTTTAAAGCTAGTTGCAACACAACATACTACTAACGCTCTGCAATAGTAAACGATAGATTGTACAGCACTACACAAATTGTATGCACAGTACAGGGTGCGGCAGAGAGGATGGACGGTTTTAAAAAAATCATAAAATAGTTAATTTTTACTAGAAAACAAATTTATTGATGGAATCAGGTTCACAAGGAAATAGCATTTGAGACAGTCAAGTGTGGAAAATCACATCAGGCATGTGGTGGCCGAAATCTTTGATGCAGTGCTGGAGGCGTTCTTGGAAGTTCACGTAGACTCTCTCAACTTGGGCGACTTCCATGCGAATTTCGCCCTTCAATTCGTCCAGAGTTCGGGGCTTGTTCGCGTATACTCTAACCTTGAGGTGTCCCCATAAGAAAAAATCGCATATGGATAAATCTGGGAACCGAGGAGGCCAATGAACATCGCCAAACCTAGAAATAACGCGACCAGGGAAGAGAGGGCGAATAACGTCCATGGATGCTCGGGCTGTGTGGGCGGTCGCCCCATCCTGCTGGTACCACACACGTCGGATTGGAACACATCGCGGTCGTAATTCAGGGAGAAAGACGTTGGTGATCATGTCGACATGGCGCTCTGAGTTCACGGTAGCATCACGACCATTACCGTCTTCGAAGAACTAAAGGCTAATGATGCAAGTTTGCGATACAGCGCACCAAACCGTTACTTTTGGGCTGTGCAGCGGTCTTTCGTGTAACTGTTGCGGATTTTCATTAGCCCAATAACGAAAATTCTGCTGGTTAACCATGCTGTTTAGGTGAAAGTGGGCACCCTCCCCGCCTCTCTCGTAGACGGAGGCGGAGAGTACTACCCATCCCAAAAACGTCCGTGCGCTCTGCCGTCACCCTGTATGTGTCAACTAAATGTACATTCCCATTGTAACAATTCAAGTTAAGACTTTTAGCAACAGGTAATATGACGTACCTGGTTCAAATATTACCATCCATTTCATGGTAATGAGCAAATAACGTAATAACATAGTTATGTTTAAAGTGTGGAGACGTGGTTCACCTCAAATGCCGCTTGAGCAAAGCTATTGTTTGGCATAAGAGATTTGCGACGTATCTCAGAAAACGCACTCCGGGCCGCCGCGAACCTGAGACTACTATAATTTAGCAAGCGGAGAGGTAGTCGCATTTCATGTACTGTGGGTTGTCAATTATGACGCTCTCTGCTAAAACTGACTTCATCCATCTGGGAGCCGAGGCACCATGATAAAGTTACTGTACAGTGCCAAATAAATACTTTGCACAGACATTTGTGCGTAAAATTTGGTAAAACCTAAGTGGTTGCCACATGAGTGACCCCGAGACTTTTAAAAGCTGAGAAATCCCAATTTCAGGATTATTCAACCCAATCTGGATGTTGTCTGTTTCAATTAGTTTGCACACTCTGGTCTGAGATTAGAGCTAGCAGTGTTGCTGATTTCCTCATCCAAATATCTACAGAGCTTACAAGCAACCCCTTTGGTTGGTTGAGAACAACCACAGTATCTACGAGTATATTTCAGTTGAGATGGCCTCAGCCTGCAAATCCCCTTAAAAAACCATCTTATGTCTGCATCGTTAGTAATATTTTGGGTAAAATACAGATACCTCAAGCAATTATATCTTGATCTCTTATCACCTTTAAGGTAAGAAATTTCAAGGTAGGAAACATGTATTTCTTCCCGACAAAGGTATACCGTAATCTAAGCCCACAATACATGATGGATTATCGATGCTCACTGGAATGACAGATTTCCAGTGACGATAACCAGGGTAAGCTTCAGAATTAGTGGGAGCGGCGTCTTGGGTCCCTCCATCAGATCCTTGCGTTACTTCTACGAGTAGAAGTGACATTTCAGAAACACCGAATACTTGAACCAAAATCAGGACGGTGACAGGTGCAGCCCCCACTCCGTTTCCACGTCCCACTGACGCAAAAGCTCATCTGTACTAGTATTACTCCTAGATTTTATATTTGACGCGATTGCAGTAAGATTTCACTCTTTACACAATTGCCATAGTTTTCCCGCAACCGGGTCCAGACGTGGAAACTAGAAGCTCTCCATTATATTGATGTAGGATGCCCATCAATTCGATAGCAATGCATTCACCACAGAAGAAAACTACCAGTTGTTCTTGATGATTAGCATGCGGGATCTTCTCGGGTGACCAAAAACTAGAGACTCCTCCCTGGCTAACGATTGTCCCAGTCCGAGAAATTATACAACTAAAAATTGGATAACTCAATACCTCTGACCGCATCTGCCAGTTTCTTTGAGCCCCAGCAGAGGTAGACCTTGAGTTATATTATGTTAGTGGCATAGTAGTGTTAAAATTTCACTCGTTAGTGTATAGTCGGCTGTAACGAAATGAAAGACAAGCTGACACCAAGATGCCGATGTTCACCGCAAAGTTTCGGACTCAGTCTTGGTTGCTGTCCATTATTGGCCATACTAGGTTTAATAATGTCTGCATAGTCCGCTCAAGTGAAGTTACTTTCTTTCTGTCACAATTTAATACTGAGCCTGAAAGTGCTCAAATTTTTTCTTAAGCTATTCCAGAAATGGTTTTATTAACTTTGTGAACACGTAAGGGGTATAATTTACTCTAAATGGTACAGCATTATATTGGAAGAGCTGTCCCTTGAATATGAATCTGAAATATATTCCATGACTTTGCCTAACGGGTACTAAAATCCCTGCATATTCCAAATCCAGATTCGTTAAGAAAGTATCTCTGCGGAGAAGTGTGATCCCAGTTCAATAGCTTAGACTTAATTAAGTGTTATATCCGTATAAACAGACAAAGTGTCTTGAGGTAAGGAGTCACCCATCAGACTTGGGGGCAATAAAAAGTTGGATAGGTGCTGATTTTTAGTGCTCAACTTTTTTACTGATAACACCGCAGCTAAGCAATTCATAGATGGACTAATGAGATTCAGCTATGACAAAGTGCTAAATCAGTCGCCATCTGAACGACAAGTGATCACTTGAATCCAACTCAGGACTTTACCGCCACTCCTAAAGCTCTGCCATTGATGATGAATACGCGTTAATGTCCATGCTGATCTACACATCTCATCTGCAATAGTGGGTTGATGTTGTCAGTACATTGTCTGGCCTTTTGGCCTTCAGTTGCTGCTCAGTTTATCTGATTTCGATTTAGAATTGACTTACTTTGACAGACCTACACCGAAGAGCAAGGTATCACTGGAAGCCTCTGTCAGAGTACTCCTGAGTTCTTTGCTTTAATGTGAATATCTGCCAGCATGCACTCCTCTCTCTTCTTTGAACCTAGAGGATTGCACATGTTGCTGTAGACAGTCCAAGTACGCATCCCTGCGTGCGACATTTTCTATTATGGCTTCCGTTACCTCAGGGTTCACCATAGGTCGCTAGAATAGAACAGAATTTATTCATCTATCGTCATCAACAAGATCTGCCCTCGAAATATCAGCCTTGGCACAACGCGCGAACATTAATTATCCTAAGGTCGCCGCATCATCATTAATCGGGCATAATGTTATTTACCTTCCGTAATTACTAAACTGAAACTGAAATTTGGTGCTTTCCTAACCGGAAATGCTCATACGTACAGTCCTGTTCCATAGTTATCACCAGTCATATGGAATTTGCTATCACAAGCGAAATGTAACGCTAGTCTCGCATAGATAAAACATAATCTCTATCTGTTATTAACGAAAAATGGTACTTTAGTGGTTTCCTAAACTGTCATGTGCATTCTGACAAAGATATTCCAAGGTTATCACAAACCAAATGAAATTTGCTATCACAGGAAAAATGTAACGCTAACCTCGCATAAGGTGCCTATTCTTTATCAGGTAATAAGAAAAAGATATTCATTGGCGGTTTTCTAACCTGACATGTTCATAATTACACACCTGTTCCACGGTCATCACAAACCACGTAGAATTTGCTATCACAAGCAAAATGTGACGATAGTCTCACATAGATGTACCCAATTTTTATCTGTTATAAATGAAAAATGCTATATTGCTACATTGGTATTACAAACTAGATGGAATTTGCTATCTCAAACAAAATGTAACGCTAGTCTCGCATATATGAACCTAATCTCTACTTGTTATTAATGAAAAATGGTACTTCGGCGGTTTCCTAAACTGTCTTGTGCATTCTTATTATGCTGTTCCAGGGTTATCACAAACCAGATGTAATTTGCCGTCACAAACAAAATGTAACGCTAACCTCGTATAACATACCTAATATCTATCTGGTAACAAGGAAAACTATATCTTAACAACTTCCTAGCCAGCCATGTTCAAACTTACAGTACATGGTTATCACAAAACAGATTAAATTATTTATCACAAGCAAATGAGAAAAGATTGTTGACCATCCCTTGTTGCTACGTTGTCCCAAACGCTTTCAGTGTTGTTATTTGTACAACCAAGTTCAGCATTGAGTCATTTTTCCAAACATCTTCATTCGTCCTTGGCGTGGAATATCACAAGCTAGGTCCATGTTGCTATCCCAAGCAACCGAGTCCAATGTTACAACGTTATCTCAAATGTCTTCGTTCATCCTTGGCGTGGATCTGACTATCCCAAGCCAGGTTCGCGTTGCTATCCCAAGCAACCGAGTCTAATGCTTCCACGTTTTCCCAAACGTCTTCGTTTGTTCTTGGTGTGGAGCTGACTATCCCAAGCCAGGTCCATGCTGCTATCCCAAGCAACCGAGTCCAATGTTTCAGCGTTATCCCAAACGTCTTTGTTCATCCTAGGTATGGAGTTGGCTATCACAAGCTAGGTCCAGATTGCTGTCTCAAGCAACAGTGTCAGAACGTTATCCCAAACGTCATGTTAGGCACAATTTGCAGCGCCGATGAGGCATCCATACTAATATTCATTTAACTTGCACCTAAAACAGATTGGTTAGTTGACAGTTACCTGATGGTGATGCCCGTTCAGAAAAAGAGGCCTGCATGCCACTTTATAATTTTGGTCTGCGACGAAAGGAACCTTCAGGCGACCGTCGGTCGGTATCTCGTTCGACAATGCACATCTATCGGCCAACCTTCTGTCCTGTTTTCTAATTCTAAATGTTCAGCGGCGATTTACGTGTTGACGGTCGGGCACGAGAACAAGGAATGAAAGTTTATAGACGGCCAGAGGAGTGAAAGGTAGGGGGGAGGGGCGCTGTGCCGCTTTCCTTCTCATCGTGTGCGCTTTGAAATCGTGGCGGTTGGGTACTACTACGAGACTACTACGGTATGTATTCTAAATATTTACTTCGACGAGGATGGAACATAATTTGCGGATCTATGTTTATATGAACTTTTTATCTCAAAATTACTCAAAGAATCGACTGTTAAATTTATGGTACATACTTCATTAAGGCACTATGTCGTTGAAGAAGGGTATTATTGCCCTCGCGGGTTATATTTCTTTTCTCCACGCCGCCTCGAGCATCGGGATATAAAGGTGCTTGGTCAATAATGACTCATTTCTCCACCAACATACGTAATGTTACTATACTACCAATGGTCATATTATGTACTTTTTTAAGAAATTGTATTCTTTCATCTATATCTATCTGTACTATCCATATTTTTCTGTTTTTAGAATGACAGGGAAATGGTACGCAGCCTCGCGTCAGCATTGGACAACACAGATTGTACGATATCAGAAACCGACGATCACATGCACCCTAAATCCAGAGCTCCCCTTCACGCCGGAATGCTGCTCTCATCTCCTTCTCCCTCATCGAACAGTTACTGGCCCAACACTCAGATGACGTCAGATGGTAGTGCCTCTCAATACCAGAACCACCTGAATCAAAAGCTCCTGAGATACGCTCAGAATCAGGGATTTGAACCCAGTCTACATTCTATCAACCAGTCAGAAGGCTCCAGCATTCGTTACTGTGGTGATTCAGTAAAGATTAAGGATGAATTAGGTTCGGATGATTACGACTCTGCACGGTCCCAAGCGCAAGTGGGTACACTGAAGTTAGAGCTTCCTGTAGACGAAGACGACTATCTTATGCCTTCTCCACAGCAAACTCAAGGCCCATCGGCTTATGTCGATTTGATTGACTCGAAGAACTCAGAAAGTAGGAAATCTTTCCCCGACTTTTACGAGAATAATATTGATAACCCTGAATACCTTATGAGCAACGACCCTCCTACGCAGACAGTCGGTTTGCCCACAGTCGCAGAGTTTGTCAATGCGACTTCTAGCACTGCTGCTAGCACTCCTAGCTTTAAACCTTACTTGCCACAGAAAAGCTCCGAGGAAGAGTCTGATCATGAGTACTACAACGATTTTGACAGGTTACAAAGAGAGCTGCAGCCACTGCACAAAAATAGAAATGGAGCGGTTATTTGAGGACAATGTCCTTTTTGTATCTAATTGAATGGCCTTTTGTACTTCGTTGTGGAGACAAGGTTGTGCGGAGATCGTTTAACCGGGGATGCTGCTAAGCTAACAAAACGATATTTTCACAATTTTTTGATAGAAAATATGTAGAAGCGTTGAGTGCCAAGCCGATGATCGCAAATGTTTGAAACCCGCCCATTGGTGGCTAATATTAATTTATTGCCGTAAAAGATAGGGTATTCAAAACTTCACTAACAAAGTTCAGTCAGAGTGAATTTTCAATAAATGTTTAAATTGGGAATGGTAACGTATAATTCTTATTAAGTTTTTTGTATTTTGTATAATTATTTCTTTATTCCCAGAAGGTTGCCAAATGATTATAGGCAAACGCATAACGTTCTGGTTTTGAGCATAAGATGTTAAAACAGCCAATAAAGAACCTAGACATGCCAATGAGTGTCAGCTTAGCAATTTAACACTAGCACTAGATTTTTATTGTTTATATGATACATACTGTTTTGGTTGTCAACTTTTATTTTCTGATTGAGTACAAATGCTATATAACACGAGGTTTCTATGATAAGTATAGATATGTATAAATCTTGAACTTTGAAGTGACTATGGTTACAGTGGAACCGTAACGTATTAAATTCATATATATAATTGACTCCTTAAGCGCGTCAAATCAATTAAAACCATCATATCATTACCGTCCAGATTCTATTGTTTACCTCGCGCAAGCATATACCAATATGTAAACATATCATGTCCAGCTCTACGTTTTAAAAAATACAGTTTTCTATTGGCTTTCTCTTGAAGCTTTATATAATAGAGCAAGTCAAAATATTGGTGCACTTAAATGCCATCTTGGACATTTTTACCTTATGAGGAACCCGTTTCAGCTGTATACTGATAATATGGGAGGTCTACAGTTCTGATGTACGCAATTCTGTACCTGATTCTGACTATGGAAAATTACACTTTTCATGTACATGAGATAATGCCGTCGATCAATTCACAAATTCTAAATGGCAGCGCCGCTCGTTGCATCTCATAGCACAAGTAGAACTTCGAATAAATTCATATAATTGCTAACAGGGTCCAATTACGTTAGCTTGGAAGTACTCCAGGTCCAGCTACTTAACTAGATTTTAATGAAAACATGTACTGTCAAAATTGACAATAACTCAGTGTGCCATGGCATGGCAACAACTTTGTACATAATTTTTGGAAGAATTTATATTGTTTTGTATATACGAGTATAATTTTAGATTTAGTTAGAATTTTAATATGCTTCTTGGGTGAGGATAGTGAAGTATTTCCTAGGTTGTTCTTGCCCAAACTGTCTGTGATAAAGTTATTAAAGTAGCTTACCTTTTGTGTATAGAAGGAGGAAATAGGCTTGTACAAGGTGTCTTTGACTAACTGGTTGGATTGTGAAGTTGCTGTGAGGGTTATGGAGCCATATATTTATTGTTTTTTATTTCTTTTTTTTTAAATTGAAACATGTCATTCAGCGGAAAGTCCATAAAAGAAATAAGGCTTTCACTTACATTACGTTAGAAGCCATTGTAGTATCTGTCTGACATTATTACTATTACTAAATTTTATAATTGTACAGACTCCCTCGTATAGGTATATTCGTTTTCCCCGTACATTGATTTCAATACACCGAAGAAGAAGACGGAAGACGACGGCGGCCATGATTGCATTTCCGAACATCAACAACACCAGGCGGGCAAAAAGCAACTAAGATAGTTATAATGATATTAACTGTATAAAGTTAATAAACACATCCGTTCAACACTCAAAAATACGGTCCATTCGCTCTCATCCCCAAAAATAATTATTTTCATGGATTACATACACATTTTCTGGAATCTACAATCAACCAAACATACAGGACACCATGTAAGAACCCCTTTTGTTAGGTGGAAGTTAAATTCTTTTAGATTTTATTTTATTACAGTCTTAAGGTTTTAATCTCAAATGATATCTCATTGTACGTAATTTTATTTATGGAATTGTAGTTGATCTTTCTTCTGAAGCAATTTACTTATTTTTTGTTACTAGCACGAAACCTGTGCCATTTTGTAAAACAAGAAGTACCTTTACGAATGTATATCAACTTTCCATATTAGTACAGTTTTGAAAATTTTAAATAAAAAATATTAATAAATTGTTGTTTTTTTGCGTGACGGTCCCATCGACAGGATGCTTATACCTATTTCTTTGCTTCAAACAACAGGAAATGCATCACATCTTGAAATATATTTATAATTTGTGACAATATTCGGTGAATGATAGGTACTTGAATATTGAGAAAGAGAATGAACACGAATCTCTTGGAAACCCACTGGGTGTCCCACGGGTTATGGCTCGCCCTGTACAATATAATTAATATATTGCATCATGTTAGCGTTATTTCAAATGCATCTACTGCCGCTGTTAGATACCATGGATTTTTCTCCCTCAGGTAATCTAATATGTCCTCGGTGCTTCTTCGAAGTGAGCTTGTGTGCATATTCCTATTTCATGACTAGAAGAACAATTGTATCCTTTGTTCTGTAATCATATAACAACCAAATATTGTGATTTTTAAAAACTCTCGCTCGCCCCTGACAAACATAATTGGGGGCCCAACTGGGACCCCTCGAATGGTATGTGTGTTCGTATGGAGGCGCATCGACCATCACAGATCACTAATCGATCACCACTAACGGTCGCTATCAAGTGTTTATAGGGATCCGCCACTTCTGCCAACTAAGGGAAGATAATATCATCCACGAACGAGGAGCGGAGACCAAAGCGAAGAAGTGATCTGGTACCCGTCTGGTCAGTATATATCAGGCCGCTTGGGCCCGAGGGCAACGATAAAATCAGAATTTGGGCGCCTTCAACTACCGAAATGTCCACAGGTCAACATCTTGCTTGGGAAAGGAGGCCTAGACTGACCAGGAATGAAGATTTTTGTGTGTCTTTCTCTGTTCTCTCTCTTGATGTGCACAACTGAATTTAATACCATATTCTATTGATTAGTGATTTAGGTATACATCTTGACACATACGAGTATACTCGAGTTCCTATCTTCCAATTATTCACGTATTATACGACGAGGTTCAAATTTAGCTGACGTCGTAATGTGTACGAGAGAGAAGCGCGAAAAGCTTGTAATATTTGTATGTATGTTAGAAAGCCGATGGTGTACGAGCCCCTTCCCAGTTCAGTTGGCCCAACTATTGAAATCTTAGTTTTTTTCTCATCAAACACAAATAATAAAAATATAGCAGGGTGTTATTGGTTTAAAATATTAACAATGAATATTTTGATAATATATAGTAGAAAACACCAACTTTATCACTCGCTGATCAAATTTGCAGCATAAACCTATTTTCATTTCAATGCAAAATAAGTCTATAATGCATAGGTGGCTGTGAAAAATAAAAGCCATGACAATTGTTTTTATTAATCACAGCTGTCAAAATACGTTTAAAATAGTTTTGGGTAGATAAGGTTTTCAAAATGGGTGGAGGAAAGGTTATTAGCGAGAAAATTCGGTTACTGATAATTAACTTTTTCAATTCTGGGAAATCAAACTCAGAAATTACAACTTTGTTAGACTTATCGCTGTACAGTGTGAGGAATATTGTTAGAAGATATAACGTAACTGGTTCAGTTAATATTAAGCCAAGATATGTGAAAAAAAGTAATATCGCAAATGCCAACCGAAGAGCATTAAGAAGAATAATCGTGAAAAACAGGCGTGCCAATTATTCACAATTAAGTGCTCTGTGGAGTGACGCTATTGGAAGGAGAGTTTCGGGTCCACAACTCCTAGAGAGGCCCACACACTGGGATTTAGCACTTGCAAGGTTAGTTTTCTTATAAAAAAAAGTGAAGTAAAAACCCTAAAGTTGCACAACTTGTTTATAGGCCAAAGAAAAGCCAAGCAAAAGAAAAATCGGCTTAGATGGGCTAAAGAACATAGACAACGGACTCCTCAACAATGGTGTGCAATAGAATGGAGTGCCCGATTCGAAGTTTGTGTTAGTGACAGTCGCAGTAGAGTTATTCGCAAAAAAATGAAGCATTCGATGTTGACTGTCTGAAGAGAAAAGTGAAATTTCCAGCATCCATTATGGTCTGGGGCAGTATGTCATCAAAAGAAGTAGGAAAACTTCATTTTATTGATGGAAATGTGGATACAAACAAATATTTGGCAATTTTAGAATAATCGCTTTTACCAGTGATGGAAGAATGTTTGACATCCGGTCAAGATTTTGTGTTTCAGCAAGATGGTGCAGCGTTCCATACCTCAAAAAAGGCTATAAAATGGATGGAAGAAAATAATGTACCACTTTTGAAATGGGTTTCTAGCAGTCCAGATCTGTTACCTATTGAAGCTTTGTGGTGGCACGAGATGAAAAAGGTTCTACGACAACATCCTGCTTGTACAATCACCGAACTGAGACAAAAGCTTCAAGAAATATGGGATTGTCTTACACCAAATTTTTGCCAAAACTTGGTTAACACTATGCCCCAAAGAGTTTCAGCCATAATAAAAAATAAAGGTGATGTCACCCAATGGTAATCTTTCAATTGTTGCTTTGTTAACTTCGCGCATTTAATCGCACACTGTTTATTTGTTCAGATGTTCTATTAGTTATAGGTCTAAGTGTATTCAAATTTGTATTTTTTACGACTAGAGTGTATCTAAAATGTTTTTGAGAAAATAAATTGTTTTAGACGTAAATAGTTTCTTCATGTTTAATTTATAAAGGCATATTTTGGTACAAATCTTGAAGTGGGCCAACTGAAGTCGGAAGGGGCTCGTATACTTTACATATACAGATAGTTTCTAAGTTATCGAAATATCACCTACAAGTTATAAAAATAGGTGTACTGAATAGTTTGACTTTCCAGTGCTTCGTAGATTTTCGAACATATTTACAGAAAAAATTGGCAGCAGTGTAATTTAATATCACCCAATAAAATTCCTCATCTTCTGCTATTTGCTGCATTACGCGAAGCGATACCACTGTATTTTTCCCTGAATAACCACAAATATTAAATCAATCAGAATGACATCGGAAGTAATTTAAAAAAAACTGTTGAATCCACTTTTCGCGAAGTAAACCATTTAATATTGACAAAATTATTCACTCACTCTATAGCAAGATGCAAATTGTTAATTCTTACACACTTTTGTGTCATTTTGTATTCCTATAACAGTAGTCAGTCCATTCAGGGTGATTAGGTTCCACAGTGCCTTCCTGAAAATCAAGGGCGGATCCAGAATTTGTGTGAGGGGGATCTCAGGATTCATATTCAGGGCGATATTCATCTCCTTCTTCTTGTAAATCGATTTATAACTTCTTCGGTATCGACACCTTTATAGACACATCAAAGTGCCAATCCAGTTAAGCGATTTTCTGCCATAGAGGCTCGCAACCACGTCTTGACCCAAATAGCACAAATACGTCTCAAAGATGTATTTATTACCTCCGATCTTGACCTTAGAGACACCTTAAAGACGTTTGCAAAAGTCTTAGAGGCCGGTTGTTACTAATCGGAACGTCTTTAAGACGTTTTGTTTTGGTCTATTGTTGTTCTTAAACAGGCGTTCGAGACACAACATGTACGTCTTTTGTATGCGTCTTAGGGTCGTCTCGTAGTCATCTTAGGGTCGTCTGGTAGGCGTCATACAGACGTCTATTTGGCATCATAGGAACGCATTGCAGGCGTTTACTGTAATCCTTCACAGAGTTTTACAAACAAAGGCAGAATGTAATAAAGAAAAAACAAAATCACTGAAAAGGGTTTCATTTTATATATATATACTGGGTGATTTACAAGTCGTGACCAAAAATGACACAGGACCGTATTTTAAGGAGGGTCTATGTAGCATTCTTTCCTCGAGTGCTTCATTAAAACAATACGGGCTGCTGAAGTTTAGAAATCAAAAACACTTTTTTCTTCAAAACCGTCAACTGGAATGAACTAAAATTAGGTATGTGTATTTACCTAGGTATTGTCCACAATCGAAAGTCTTTACTTAAAATTAACTTTGCGGAGTTGCGGAGATACAGGGGATTAGTAGCATTATTCTTCCAAATAAAAATAGTACAACACTGTTTTTTTTCGAAACGCACAATTTTCCCAATTTTACTTTCAATTTGCTACAAATAATTACTCCTGTGTTTTTTTCATCGAGTGCACTATTTTCGTAAAAAGCAAAATAAAACAAATTAGATCATTCATGAAGAGTCGAGATACAATTAGGTTCAAAATAAAATAGGAATCCTTGATACCAACTGAACGTTTCTTGCGAGATAGTTTGTCAAACTTATGTGTTATACGGATGTTATCGTGACTACCACCATTTTTTTGTAAAAGTCAAGTCAAAAGTTTCTTTTTTTCCATTTTTGAGTTGTGTGAAATGGAATTTAACAATGATGAGTACATCGATATTATTTGCGTGTTCGGGTTCTGTAATGGAAATGCTTTAGAGGCTTCTCGGAAATATCAGCCTAGATTTCCTAACAGACACTAACCTACCCTAAAGGTTTTTACGCGTTCATTCCTAAGACTCCGGCAATATGGAATTGCCAAACTTCCCGGAGTTAGAGACCATGGTGTCCGGCATACTGTTAAGAGGAACTGGAGGTGATTAATAGTTTTTATTTTTCGAAATTTCTCTAACAATTTGGCGTTGGATGATCCTATTACAAGTACTAGGTGGATTGAAGCCTAGTTAAAAAGTTCCCATAGTCTTGCGTGGAGAATTTTAAATCGGGAAGTTTTATATCCTTACAATCGGCAAAATGTGCAATGTCTGCAATCCGGCGACGAAGTGCAACGGCGAAATTTTTGTGAGTGGTTACTGCAAATGCATAATCAAAATGCATATTTTAATGATTTCGTTTTGAGGTCATATGAATCGCTTTTTACGAGGAGTGGAACCTTTAATTCTCATAATGAACATATTTGGTCGTTAGAAAATCTCGGTTCTGTAAGAATCCACTCGTTTAAACACGGATTTTCTAGAAATGTCTGGTGCGGCATATTCAATGGCCAACTGTTTATGCACGTATTGCCATAACGTTTAAATGCAAAGTAAAACTTAGCTTTTCTAGAGAATTACATAGAAGATGTGTTAGATGATGATCCGTTAACAACGAGAGGACGAATGTGGTATCAGCACGACGGCACCCCCACCGCATGTTCGTCGTGGCATAACCGCATGGTTAAATAATCATTTTAGACAACGATGGATTGGCAGAAATGGACCCGTACATTGGCTTGCGAGGTCTCCTGATTTGAACCCGCTGGATTTTCTTTTGTGGGGGCTTTTAAACAACTGGTGTATGCTCAACAAGTTAATACTGTTGATCAGTTACAAGAAAGAATAGATAATGCGATTGATCAAATTCAAGCTTCAACAAATTTTACCGAAATACGTTGTCCTTTATTAAAAATATGCTGCACTTGTATTCGTAAGAATGGTGGTTTTTTTGAACATTTATGGAAATAAAGCTTTGATTATCTATTTTTCATGTTTACGAAAACAATGCATTCTAGGAAAAAACACAAGAGTAATTATTTGTAGCAATTTGAAGGTAAAATTAGAAAAATTGCTCTGTTCGAAAAATAAAACTAGCGTACTATGTATTTTTATTTGGAAAAATAATGCCACTAATCCCCTGTATCACCACCACTGGTGCACGTCAATTTTTAGTAAAGACTTTTAAATGTGGACAACACTTACCAAATCTTAGTTCATTCCAGTTGACGGTTTTGAGGATATCAAAAAAATTTTTTTTTATTTTTAAACTTCAACATCTCGTATCTTTGTAATGAAAATAAGGGAAAGATGAAAACCCCTTAAAATGCGGTCCTGTGTATAATGTTTCACGACTTGTGGATCACCCTGCGTTTATCATGATATACAGTGTGTCAAAGATAAAGATAACATTGGATTTCAAGAATTAGAAGCTCTTTTCAGCCACAACTGGATGGATTTTTCCGTTTAGTTTCTCATGTCTCCCACACTAGCTCTTTCTGCAGCACCTGCAAGTCTTTCATTGTTTCCGCTAGAATTACTCAACCATCTATCATCCTATAAAAATTGTTTATATAATGAAGCTGACAAATATAACTAACTGCTCCAAATTCTAAGCAACTGAAAAGTATTCTAGAGGTGGTAATTATGAAAACATCTCTGCAAATACTTTGTTTCAAACTTTTGCTTTAGAGGTATAGTATGGAACATCTACGTACATATGATAAGCTTTGCCAAATTTGTGTCCTGAAATGGCCCATTGCCTTTTCTTCCCATCCAGCTGGATGTAAGCGCTGTTTGATCCACCAATATGAGCAAGCTCTTCCACCTGAAATGACAACTATTTTACTAAACCGACACATCTGCAGAATCAAAATTATTTCCAAAATATGTCTTCAGAATACCTGCGCAACAAGTCCTTGTATGAGAAATTCGATGATATACAACCCATTTAGATAACATAAAGTTAACTGTTCCAGATTGAGGAACTGCTGCATATGACGAGGCAGATGCACTAGATTTTAGTTTACGATCACCGATCATGTTTGTATGATTTGTTTTGGAAGTCTGAATATCCCTTTTACCGAACTGTAGTTGATTTTGGATACGCTCAATCCGGGGTGTTGGATTATCAGTATCATTGTCAGTAGCAATAGCAACATAAAGCAGAACTGAACCGCTCTGCATGCATGTACTACTTTTTCAGGAGTGGGGGGCATAGTGACTGAAGCTTATTACTTTTAACTTACCGCAGCAGTCACAAAAATCACAAATCAACAATTAATTTACGCGAATTTGCGTTTTAACTTTTTTATTTAGGACCTCAAAAATCTTTAACGAAGGGAATCTTGTAAAATCACAAAACATAATTACACATTGTAAAAGTCTTATACGAACGAATTATACAATGACATCCATTCGCGTCTACGTCTATCGTACGTTTGCATCTCCGCTTGCGCCAACGGACGAGATACAAAATCACCACAATACAGTCCGAAAATTTCCTAGATTTAAACTTAAGATAGTTTCATGGAAGTATGAAGAGTTTGAAGAAAGATTTTTATACCTACCTGGAACTACCGTCCAAGGTTACTCACATATTTACCGTTAACGAACAATCACGAAAAGTGAATGACGTCCTAAGAACGTGTCATTGACTTATGTTTCGATAAGACATTCTGATCATTCAATGAAGCGAATGTTTTGTACTAATTAATGTAATAATCGCAGTATTTGACACATTGAACGTTTTTGAACGCGACAGATTCATTTTGTACTAGCTAAAAGCTCTTTTATTTAGAAAAGTTCATTTGCGTACAAAAAATAAAACGCTACAAACAAGTTTACTAGATATACACCCGATTCATTATTGCCAACGCTGCAGAATAACACAAAAATGTCACTTTTTGATCAGCTGTTCACCTCAATAGACGTCAAAGCGTGATGGATACTCGTGAAATAGAGAATTAGGCAAGCAACATAAAATATAGTAGAATCAGAAGAAAGCAACCATATTTACCACTAAAAACATACATATTTATTGGAAAACTTTGTATTACACCCTATACCTTTGTATATGACTTTTTGTCACAAAGAGACACTTAGAATAGTTGGAGAGCTAACCGAAAGAAAAATCTGGTATTGGTTAAATTCAAAAATATACAGGTGTGATATTTCACATTAGCCCGCCTACTTATAACGCCACGTCACAGTCTAGGATATTTTTACACACAACCAAAGTTGATTTTCTCAATCTCAACATGTACCCATTCTTATTAATTTGTGACTATGAAATATTACAATTAAGTACATGTGAGACATAGGTTCCAATAAGGACTTCTATAAACTATATGACAATTCCAACATCCAATAATTCTAAGTACATCATGTAAAAATCTCTCAAAAATATTCCAGCTTCTCATGCTCGATATAAAATGACGTTATTTACTCTAGTGACTCCTATTACTGAAACTCAGAACGGATCTTAGTTTTTTTCTGATTTTCGGCGAGGTCCATTTACTTGAGGTTCCATGTTGATTCATATTGCTTGGAGAAACTCCTTCGTCTACGTCATCTGCCTCAGTCTTGATTTCCATTTTCTGTAAAGAATATTACAAACAAGAAATAATGTGTAATTTATTCAGATTTATGAATTTTCTATAAGGAACTAGAACCCTGTATATGATGATATATTTTGCTTCACTTAGGGTCGCTAGGAAAAAATCATACGAGCTTCACTCAAAAGATACAGACTCATTACCTTCTCAAAAATTGTTCTCACTGTTGAAATTTCCAATATAGTAAATTCTACGCGCTAAGCGGCTATAACATTTTTTGCATTAGTTCGGATGTCATATTTGCTTCTGGGCTTCAAAACAAAAAGAATTTTAGACAGCGTGAATGTTATCCCAACTTAGCTTTTGGCGACCCTGATCCTAGTCAATACGCGTAACTTTTTGAGGAATACAATTAAGCGTCAAAATCAGTGATAGGTGGCGTTCGTCAGATTTTCATCTTCTTGCGCGCAATGCTTCGTGTTTTTCAGAAAGCCACATCCAATTGTTTGCTTTCCGTTTCGTTAGTCTCCACGAACTAAACCTGAGACATATACCGCAATGAATACGAAACAGTATGCGGTTGGTTATGGTTACAGGAGACGGAAGGCAAACATGTCCTTCAAGGCCGTGTATATTATGCATAACATATGTATATGCAATAGAAAAGGCATTACTGGTTTGCTCTGTGAATACCTGGTCTTCCGATCATTTGACACGTTGACCATATTGTGTCTCTATTGAAAGTCTTATAGTTCTAGAGACTTTCAGCGTTCGTCATTTTTCTTTGAGGTGAAAAGCTCACATAAAGGTTATGCCACTGTCTTTTTGCATCATTCGCCTCACTATTGGTTGAATATCAACCCGTTTTCCCTCGCGTATATACGTAACAAAATTGTCAGCAGTGAGGCTCTTGCTGAGCATCTGTTCCAGCTGTGTCTGATAGTCGGCCCACCTACCATATTGGAGTAGATGATTAGGAGTATCCCTCTCTTCAGTGTAATATACGCAATTTGCGTACTCCATCTTTCCTAGCCTCTTCAGGTAGCTGTCAAACAACCATGTCCAGTGAGAAACTGTGCGGTATAGTAATCTATCTTCCATCTCTACTACCATCTGATAAAAAGTGCCTCTCTTCCATCGCTTGTAGCTTCGACGCCCCTTTTATGGAGCGCACATCTCTTCGAAGCCAGCAAATCAATTGGCGGACACCAGCCACCACCACCTCAGACTACACCGTTCTGTAAGCGCATACCACACGCAGTACTACTTTTCGCTGGCTCGGAATTATCAACTCTAACGACTAATGAAGTTAGCTTCCGTCTTCTCAGGAGCCAATTTTAAGCCATGTTCTTCCATCCATGTGGTAATTCTCGTGATTCCGTATGCCAAGAGTTCTTCACTATCATTGAAAGGTCATCAGAATACCATCTCAAGTGAATATGTAACCGAAGAATCCCATCGTAGAACACGTCCCAAAGCAACGGCCCTAGAACGGAGCCCTGCGACAATCCCATGGTTATCTTCATCTCGTATCTGGGCATAATGAAACAACTAACTCCTAAGGTACAAAAATTAGAAAACTAGTTAGAACTCAACGTGAAGATAACTATAAAACTCAAAATACAAACAAGAAGAGGCACTGAACGACTACTGACTTTTAAAAATTACAAAACTTAGGAACAAGGTATTAAATCTGCTTCTTCAGGCATTCATTTGAGTTTGTCAGTTTGTCAATCGAAATACTCGTATTCTGAATAAGATCTGCTGCAACATAGCAATACTCAGTAATACTCCGGACATCACACTTGATCAGATCGAGACCACTTCAATTGCAAAAAGGCAACATTCATACTCGTAAAGGTGGATCAGGCTGCGCGACCTTATTTCGTTGCCACCAATCTCGTTGGACCTAAGTCCACTAAGTTTTCCTTAGGGTTGCTTTAGAGAATTTATATACCAAGCTGTGCTGGTCTCTGTTTATATATATATATATATACAGGGTGTGGCGTAAAGAGTGGATAACTTTTAAGCTGCAGTTAGAGGACATCATAACGATTCAAAAAATTGAAAATTGTGTCTAGTAAAAGTAGCACGGTTTTCGCGTATTATGCCCAAAATGTGCGAGAGTATCTCAACGAAATGTATCCGCGGAGGTGGATTGGGCGCTTGGGAGCAATTTTTGGACCACCAGGGTCACCAGACCTCAATCCTCTCGACTTTTCTTTACTGGAGGTGTCTACAAGTGGGAGAGCTTCGTGCGCGGATACAAACAGCTGTAAGAGAAATCAACGAAGCCAGATAAATGCGCAAAATCAAATAAAATCATTTATAAGAAGTACCAGAGCTCGTGGTGGTCATTTTGAGCACTTAGTGTGACTTCTGATAATATGTTTATATCTAGCGAGTTTTCTGTTCTATTTTCTTATTTTAATGAATTCTTACACCATAAAGTTAGTTAGTATCTTGTCTTAAATTCTTATGCATCCGGTAGATTTAAACTGCAACATTACTAATAAGTTTTGTGAACGTTGTAATTTTGATTCGCTCTTTTGTTATTGCCCCAGTATTCTGTGCTAAATCAACAAAAACAATGGACTTGAGTTAAACTTTTCTTTGGAAAAGTAGGCGTCTCGGCTATCTCAATATAAATTGACACCAGAAAATAAATGTATTGTATCATTTTGCAATCTCAATGAATTAGTCAAATCATTCACTTCTTGTTTCACCAGATTACCGCGATCTTATTGTTATTAATAATAATATAATAATAATAACAATAACAAAATTATAATAATAATAAATAATAATAATAATAATAAAAGGTCTTTACTGGAATATAAATGTACATAAGATCTTATTCCTAATAGGCGGAGTCTAGAAAAACCTTTCCCACTCAACCTACTCCAATAATAATATCGGTAACTAAGGAGAATATTGCAACATATAAACATTGTGCAGCGTACAAAAAATACATATTCAAAAATTCTATAAATATGTTAGAGAAAGAGGGTACTATGAAATTAAACACAATAAGTAAATGAAAAATTAGATACAGTACGATAAAGGCTAAGAATAAACTGAATCAATCTGAAAAGGTAACGCTAACGATGTAGAAGAAGCTGTTTAGCTTGTTTTTTCATACTATGCACCGGCATACTTTTCAAATATTCACTTGTATCATTGTATATTTTAATAGAATTATAGATAAACGATCGACGGAAAAATGTACTATTGCAAAGTGGGAATTCTAGGCGAACAATATAACCTTTTTTCAGTTTATTAGCATGTTCCTTAAAACGTAAAGAATCATCAAACACTAAACCCAAATTATTTGCTTTATCCACCACTAGAAAAGCTATTCCATCAATCTGTATATTTTAGGAATGGTATAAATTTGGTCTGATACTATTAGAACAAAACAGCATAAGATTGCATTTATCAGAATTCAACTCAAAGCTATTACCTTTAGAATATCTCACAATTTCTTCAAGATCCATATTAATTTCACGGACTGCTTGGGGTGTAGATTCCGAGCTAAAAGATTTATACAGTTGCCTATCATAGGCGTAAGTTACTAGAGAAGAGTCAGATACAGTAAAAACAAGTACTGAGCCTTGAGGAACACCAGATGTAATAAGGCAAGGTTTAGAGTATTGGTTATTCAAGTGCACCACTTGCCAATGTTCAGAAAGACATGTTTCAAAGAAATTATTAATTTAGAACATAAAAGTGAGTGGTCTATGGTGTCGAAGGCTTTTGAGAAATCTAATAAGATGAGAGAAGCAGCTTTACCATCATCTTGTTTCCTGATAATGTCATCTGAGACATGTGCTAAAGCTGTTGTAGTACTATAACCCGCTCTAAATCCGGATTGGCATTCAGGGAGAATATTATTGGCCGTAAAATAATCACATATTTGAGTTTTAACAGCTTTCTCTAAAATTTTAGAAAATACAAGTATACGGGCGATTGGTCTAAGATCAGAAAAGTGTTAAGGTTCACTAACTTTCGGCAAAGGTTTCACTATAGAAAGTTTCCAAGCACTTGGAAAATACGCAACTTCTAAACAGCAGTTAATGAGACGAGTGAATGGTAGAGCCAAATTGGGAAGGCAAAGCTTGAGCATATCAGCCGAGATGTGGTCACTACTAGCTGCACTCGATTTAATGGACATGAAAATGTCAATTGCAGCCTGTTCGCATATAGGTCTAAACTCAAAATGGCAATTTTGACTGTATGTCGAGGACCTAAAAGCAACAGCTGTATCAGAACAACTGTTTGGAGGAGTAAACACAGATGAAAGGTAATTATTGATAGCGTTAACATCAAAAGTCTGACATTTGGCATCAACCATGGAGCATAAGGCTTCGTAGCACGTGTCAATTTCATTGGAGCTTGGATTTCAAAAATATTTATGATGTTTGTTGTTAAAAAATGTATTTTGCCCTCTATATTGTTCATATAGTAAATTTGAATCCACTCTATCATATTTAGATCGCAAATAAAATCAGTTCTTGAAAAATGTTTGTATTGTACAAACTTGGGCTCAAATTTATGGGCAGCCAATTTTAGTGAGCAGGAAACATCACAATGATGTGAAGTAAAATCATACGCCGACATACAGTTCAGAAAAGAATTATCACCCAATTGATCTATGTTAGTATCACCAAGGAAGCAGATATAATCATATTGTGATTCTATAAAAGAAATTACACTCTCTAGATACTCAACAAACAAGACTACACTACTAGAAGGTGCTCTGTAAATTATACAAAGTAAGGTATTGTATCTAGATATGGACTACTCAACCAACAAATGCTAAAACCTATCAGGTGGAACAAAGTCTTCAAATACCTGTTTACTAGGAATATGTTCACGAATGTATATCCCACCCCCCCGTCTACCTACACGGTCCATATGTATGAACTGAAAACCGAGTATCTGAACATCTGTTTCCGTTTGATCATCGTTTATCCAAGTCTCAGTAACGCACATCACATCATAGTTGTCAGAAACAACTGAGTCAACAAATTTGTCAAATGGAGTAAACAAAGATCTCGCATTAAGCTAACCAAGCTCAAGGGGACTGCTCTGATTATTCATATTGAATATTATTCCTTAGTTCCTGTATTTTGGATTTACAATCTTTAACTTTGTGCTGTTCTGCTCTGATTTTGGACATTGTTGTCAAATATAAGTGTACGAATGAAACCATCTATAAGTTCTAATCTATTACCGACCTCCTAGGGGACATTCTGTATGATGATTCTAGGGCGTAATTTTAAAGACTCGTGAATCACATATTTATTTCCTATTTCAGACTGGAAAGTAGATTTAAGGCCATTTAAATCATTTCTGTTATTACAACTTATAAGAAATCCATTTTTAGTTGATTTAGCTTTGGATATCTCCACCTTCAAAGACCCAGGAGTATATTTAAATTTAAAATCCTTCTCAGCTTGTTTAATAGATATCCTACTATCAGCTGATTTTATTATTAAAGAACGAAGATCATTCAGTTTTTTTCTTTTTATTGCTTGGCTGTATGAAACAGGACCCACTTTTTGCTCGACAGGTAAAATTAGGTTTTCGTCACTCACATTCACTTCGCTTGGAGGTCAGCTATCCTTTTCTTCTGCACATCTATTGTTTATTCACGGTAACTAGCAATTTTTTTGAACAGCTCCTTCTCCCTATTCAGACAATCAATTTCCTTTTTCAAAACTATATGACTGTCACAAACGGAGCTGCATTTTTTCGCCTTACTGTCTTCACAGCAGCTGCGGCAACGCCACTTCTTGACATCCACAACAAAGACCTTCGTAACAATATCGAAGCACTTTTAATGGAGACATTTGGATTCACTGCATTTCATAGGACGCAAAACAAATTTTGCACTTTATTTTCTCCAGATTATCAGCATCGTCAGGCACCGTTGAATATCATGTGCGTTTAGTACGACGATATACGACACCACACGTGGTCAAACTTAAGAGGAAAAAATATTTTCTCCGAGTTTGAAAGATTTTTTAAAAAAGCAATTAACCTGTAATGAGAAAAACCTTCATGTGAGAGACTTAAAACAGTGAGTTAAGGAACCAATTTCCTCCAAATTTGAAAAACGTCAAAAAACTCGAAAACCGTACAACTTCTACTACACAAAATTTTCAATTTTTTGAATCGTTATCACGTCCTCCAACTGCAGGTTAAGGGTTAACCACTCTTGACGCCACACCCTGTATATATATATATTCAGGGTGATTCACAAGTCGTGACCAAAAATGGAACACCATACCCAGGATCGCATTTGAAGGGGCGCCTTCTACGTAATATTTTTTCCTTGAGGGCTTCATTAAAAAGTTTTAGAGTTTCTTTAATATCTTCTAAACGAGTGCACTGTTTTCGCAAAAATAAAAATAACACAAATTAGATCATTCATGTAGAGCCGAGATACAGTTTCAAAATATAATAGGAGCCCTTGATACCAACCTGACGTTTCTTGGGAAATAGCTTGCCAAAGTTATAGGTATATTCTTTAATTCACCGATTGAGCTACCGGTGCGTCCTTTAATTTTCGCTGAAACTACCGTTGTACATACATCAAACTTGTCTTTACATTGGTGGTGGATATGCCACCGGTGCCAACAGCATCCACCGACGTTCGGGCTCGGTTGATCCACGATATTCTAACATCTACATTTTATCATTTTTTGACAAGTACAGTTTTGTGTGAAAAATGGAAGAAGAACAGATTGTAGTTATTCTACAGCATAGGAGTGGTGTGAAATTTAATGTTTTTTCAACACAATTCGAAATAAACAGAGCATCTGGAAGCAAGTGATTTTATTTTGAATTATGCATATTTGAAAATTTCTTGGTTTTTTGATTTATAGTTCTTTTATTGATTCTCGGAGCGAAAATTCTCTCCACTAGATAACTTCTTCATCCCAATCAACACTCGAATCGCTTAACAAACGTTCCACGACGATACCAACTGCTGCGTACGTTGTCATGATTTTAAATGATATGGTGCTCAAATTAACAAGTATCCATTCACGATAAAACAAAGGCTTTCTTATATGACAGTAACCTGAAGGCTATTTAAAAATGCGCCTTTTTATTAATTACCATTCAACGAAACCGGTTGCTGACTTCATCACATCAGCTGTCAGCCATAAGTTCACCGGCATGGGTATCCTGTAAAAAACCTATAAAACGTCAAAAAAAACCTATAAGATGTCATCTTGCAAACTAGGTAGTTTTTAGGGCGCAAACAGTCATTCCACGTTTGCTCACTAGGATCGTTGTGAACGTCCATCTAAGAAGGAATCACTCTACTGAAAACTACACGTACTATTGGTTGCATATGTTTTGTGAGGCCAAGTGGTCCTTGTCTGTAGTTTTTATCTCTGAGAAGAAAGTTGGTTGAATAGCATCTGGATGATTATGTGTATTGGTCTTCTCTTAATTAAAAATATGTCGCATTTATATCCGTCAGAATGGTGGCCCTTTTGGTCATTTACTGAAACAAAGCTTTGATTATCTAATTTGATTTTTATTTTTATGAAAACAATGCGCTCTGGGAAAAAATACGAGAGTAATTATTTGTAGCAAAATTCGAAAGATTGCGCGTTTCAAAAAAGAAAACAGTGGTGTACTATTTTTAGTTGGAAAAATGCTACTAATCCCCTATATCTCTGCCACTGGTGCACGTTAATTTTAAGTAAACACTTTTGGATGTGGAAAATACTCAGGTTAGTCCACATACCAAATTTTAGTTAATCCCAGTTGACGGTTTTGAATATCGTTTTTAATTTTTAAACTTCAACACCTTGTATCTTTTTAATGAAGCCCTCGAGAAAAATGTTACAAAGAGGACCCCCTGTTGTGTTTCATTTTTGGTTACGACTTGTGAATCACTCTGTATATATCCTTGTCCCAGGAGTACTGCCAATATGTTTCAATCACCTTGTATTTTACAAGTTATAAATATATAATGTAATATCTGAAACTTATCCTGTGTCTCGCTGATGAATCTCAATATTTCACTAGCCACTAAGTAAAATGACAGATATGGGATGGAGATTTAATGCCGAAGTATACAGCTTATTCGTAAAGTTCATGTGTTTTTATAACTCAATGTTGTTCATTTAGGGACCACCAAGGTCGGCGAAATCGAAATGTTAGGTCTCGACTCTTCATCTGTAGTTTTACTTGGTGGTCAGTGAAAAGTGCGGATTGGTAACTATACCTGTACTATGAGTCTCAGGAGCTGTTGCTGAACCTCCAGGGTATGAGTTATCTCTTTCAACTTATTTTTGGCCTTCCCCAGTTCTGTAACTACATAGTCTTCGCCATTGTCCATGACCATGTCAAGAGCTAAAACAGTTGGTTGCTCACAATAAAAATACATTTCATTCAATTTATAGTCAGTTTATGTATCGTGCACGTTACTTTCATGATAGTAACCTCAAAGGATAAGAGATACGAGAATAGCTAAATGGGCAATACTTTATATCTTTCTAGGCCCACTAAAACACAATGGATAAATATTTAGTATGTCAGATATTTATAAATATTTATAAGCGAGATTGTGGCTTCGGCAAGTTCAAACTATCACCTTCCACATTTGTTTGCTACCACTACCGCGCCCTCTTCCTCTGTCTTTCTCTCGCTCTCTCTCTCCCCCCCCCCCTCTTTCTCTCTCTCTCTCTCTTTCTCGAACCGTACCTGCTGATGACGTTATTCATTCCTGAACTATTCCCTCACTTGACGTAAAAATTGACGCAACCTACTTGAATACCTCACTGTCAAGATCCAGTTCTTAAACACCAATCACCTGCTTCCGACGTAGTTGGACTAGTTGAACTCAAACAAGGCTGATTACGAAATGACTGACCCAGGCGGTTACGAGCCCTACTTTTTCCCTTGGGTTTTACCACACGCCAGCAGACTACTGGATTCTCTTTTTGATTACGCGTCTGGCCCCGCCGTGGCAGCAGAAACCCGCCTAAGCTCCAAAATTGGACATTACGGACTTTTTATCCACGTTTTCTCGGAGAGATGTTCGTTTCACTGACTCGTCGGCTGTCTGTTCGTCGATAACTGAAACTCTGCACTTAGGAATGGAGGAATACATCCCTAATACAGCGAAAGTGTCTAAACCTGGGTCTAGCGGCTGGTTCATCAGATCGTGCGAGACTGCTCGTCGACAGAATATCAAGGCACATAACCTTCCTACAAAACCCCACTGTAAAGAACAGACAAGCCGACGTTGAGTCTAGGAACAAAAAACGAAGTGGTTAGCAATGCCTAGGATCAGCACGATATAAAAATTAGGCACAGGGTAATATCGCAGCGCAATGAAAGACGGTCTTTCTGGACACTGGCTAAGCAGATTAAGGGAAACCTATAAAAGTAGCCGTTTAAATGCAAGGATGAAACGTTTGTAGAAAACTCAAAGGATAACGTGAAAGAACCTGCCAACTTGTCACCAACTTTACCATGGACGTGTCCTGCAACGCCCAAGCGCTGTCGATTGAAAACGTTCCCTACACTATGTAGGCAGTAACATTCTGGCATACGTCCGCTCGACACCAACAAAACTTCTGGTTTGGGCTTGATTCATGCTGATGTACTGAAGAGACGTGCAGCGAAGCTTGCTTTCGGTTCCTTCGCGTCTCTTCCAGATACCTTGCGAGTCCGATACTTTCTCAGAAATTAGAAATTCGCTCGTCTCTAGCCTGTTCTAAAACAAGGATCTAAGATCGACCCTTACAACTACAGACTTATAACTCTATTTTCTCTTATAGGTAACTTGATGTAGAGGTGCATAAATCGGGAGCGTCTGGAGTATCTTGAACATCGCGGCTTGATTAGCGACAGGCAGTATGGTTTTCGGAACCAATGATCAATAGGAAACCTTTTAGCTTACGTCTCGCAACTGTGGAGTAAACTGATTTAGTCATATGGTGAAGCTCATTTTGTCATTGCGGAAGCTTTCGGTTAACTGTAGCATGCTACCCTCATATGCAAACTTCAATTCTATGTCCTCCCAAGAAAGCTTTGCAGATGGGTGGTTAACTTCCTTTCTAACCGCAATATATCCGTTCTAACTGACCTCTTCATCTCATAATGTCAATGCATGTGTTCTCCAGGGATCGGTTTTGGCAGCTTTGTTCATGACATAACTCTATATGCAGGAATTCATAATGGAAGTGGATCTTTGCTGGTGAGCTGGAGAGAAGAGGTACCTACTTGGTTGTAGTGCAGATCTAGCAAGACTTCAAATCGGCTGATGAGGTTGTCAACCAGACCGTCTGCTTTTTGCGGATAGCTTACGTTTCGCACATGGCAACAAGTATGAATTTCTTCCGGTTCTTTGATTCTGGAAACGGTCCCGATACGTCACTGGCTATCCTCTCGAATGGGTTACCGACATTGTAATGTCTTATCTTGGCCATCGGCTGCCGCAGCAGTTCATTGCTCGCGTAACACATTGTATATTTTCGGCAACACTGCCTTACATCTTCCAAACAGTTAAACCAGTAAAATCGCCCCAGAGCTTTTCCAAGGTTTCTCATGACGCCTGACCTGACATTCCAGCGTGGAGCTGACGGAAACCTCGAACACCCAGCTGTTTGGTACCTCCAGTTGCAGCCGCCGCTGAGGCTCATCTTCGCTCTTCGTGGCTTGTTTCAGGATGCCGTCTCTACTATCAAGGAGCCCCACTGGGCTTAGTATGACTTGACCGCTTGTGACAGTAGGGCGACTTCCTCCCTGGTTGATTGACGGTCCTCTTTCTTCCATTCCTTCAGCCGTTGGACGTCACGGTTTCACTCTTGGTCGCTGTCCTCTCTTCGAGCCTACTGCAGTGAGAGGACTCCGGTGGGCACGGCCTCCTGCATAAAGCATCAGCGTTGCGGTGACCGTCTTGGACTTGTGACTATACCAAAGCCGAAGTTGTTTGCATCTGTGCCCAGGATGAACTTCCTCTCTTCTGATTTGGATATTCTAAGATTGTGGCGCTGATCAAATGCTGTTTCAATTGTTCAAGGGCACGCTGACAGTTTTCATCCCAGACGAACCTCGGTGAGGCGATTCCATAGTCTCGCAGACGAAAGCATGAACACACTGACCGTAGTACGTGCACAGCCCAAGGAAGCTTCTGTAGTGCGACTCGTCTGCAGGACTCGGCCATTTTTTGATCGCGCGCACTTTCTCCGGATCGACTACAACCCGGTCCCGGTTGCATTCGCAGCCTAGATAGTTCACCTTCTACCGGAACAGACTGCACTTCTTCCGGTTCAATCTCAAAGTTTGAGCCTCGGATCATTCGGAACACCGAAATCTTTCAGATGCTCGTAGAAAGTCTTACCCACCAGATGATGTCGTCCAGGTAGATGGGGCACATTTTCCACATCAGCCTCGACAGCATCAACTCTCGAACATAGCAGGTGCGTCGCATAGCCCGAAAGGTATTACGGTGAACTGCCAGAGTCCATATCCAATTATAAAGGCAGTCTTCTCTTGGCCGACTGTTCTATTCGGCCGCTTGTATGCTCTTTGGAAGTGGCCCAACACCCAGTAGTTCTAACAGCACACAAATCGAGCCTTCTTTATCAGCAAACCCTTCATGCCATTGACCTGTGTAACGTGCCAAAATCACGTAACTTTTTTTTTACTATTTTGATCATTACCCAGTAATTTGAATTTCTCTTCATTAATGGGCAAATTTCATAGTTTCTTGACTTTAAACTCTCACACGTATTATGATTTTCTTTCTCAAAGATTCAAATTGAAATTTTTTGGACACTAATGTTATAGTATTTTATTAACGACTTACTCAGAAATTTTGTCATAAATAGCCTGTATAGGAATATTTGGTTTCCTAACAAGATACCTTCTTTATCTATCAAGATACATTTTTCACCGGTTTTTCTCCGTTCCTTTTGATTTCCCACCGAACATACCTTCTTCAAGGCCTCTCATTTAACCTTCTTTTAAGAAGGTGTTCTGTGTCATTTTACTTTCCTGTTGAGGTTATTGGTGCGTGGTACTTCCAGAGTCTGGGTTATTAGGCCCCCAAAGACAAGTTTATGGAGTAGTACCCATTTTATTTGGCACCTTACGTTCAGTTGTTTTGGTTTGGGTGCTACCCCGACCGTTTTCTTAAGGGATTTTAACCTGGAAGGCATTGCAGAGAACTACCATTCACACTTCTCCAGCTTTGTTTTGTAGCTGCCTTGTAGCTGTTTTGCAACTGATATTGCTTGAAGCCACCCCTTCTCCTTGACACCTGCGCTTACAAGGTTTGCTGACTAGAGCTAGATTCTTACGCTTCCTCGCTAAATACCTCCACTCGGACATTTTTTCCAGACGCTTATTTCGCGGATTCAAATTATAATGCGTGGACCAAAGCATCCACCAGCGTCTTTGGACGAGCCAATCGAAGTGCCGTCCACAAACGTCTGTTCTTTTAGACACTCCATCAGGTTGTTAGGAGCTAATGGATAGGCGAAGCGCACCTGCCGAGCAACATCCGCTTCGAACGTCGCAGACCGTCATTTGCTTTCTGTCGGCGGTTCTTCATATGCGACTGATATACCTGCTCCAGATGGACGTGTCCAACCGCATTTCCAAACCCTTGGCTAGATGCTCACAGTTTTTCATGTTCTCCACTGCTCTTGTCTGGAGAACATCTAAAGTATCTCCTCTAAGGGCCACAGTCAATGCAACGGCTTATCCGTGTTGGATCAACCATTAGCTTGAGCGGCTGCCTCGATCTGTTTCAAATAGTTCGGCCAATCGTCTTCCCATCCAACGTTGAGGGTTTTGGCTTCCTGCTTCACGGGACGCTCCACATTGTCTACTTCGACGACTAGGCTGATGACTTGATGAACCTTCTCCTCAAGTCTTCGCAGTTGCGCATTTCGCTTGGCAAATTCTGTCGGAGCTACGTGTCTCGTTTAGCAATCTTCTGTTCGAGTCCTTGCAGCTTCCAGCTCTGTCTTGAAGCTTCTCAGCCGTGTCAGCTAACCCGATGGCAAATTCATTTCCGAGAGCAAGGATGATCTGGTCCAGTTTCTCTGAGAGGGCCTGGTTCTCCTCCTTCAGCATCTGCGAGAGTGCTTGGTCCTTCTCCGTCAGCGCGATGGTGCTGCCAGACACCATCTGGGAAATGGCCTGGTTCTCCCCGTCAGGACACTGGTAGTGTCAGCCATCATCTGGGAAGGAGCCTGGTTCTCTTCCCATCAGCGTAGACAGAAGGAGCTCGGCGTCGACGAAACCTGGAACATAGAATTCGAAGATCTCCCACGGATCTCTGAGCAGTCCCGAAGACAAGCCGCCAGCGTCGCCTTTAATCTGGTGGTCTCGAG